ATTGTGACGTCTCGAATATTGATTTTAACTCGATTGTGACTTCACCAACTTTGACTTCCAATTGCGTCCTCTCGAAGTTTGACTTTATTTCTGAAAACGTTTCCGAAATATTAAAAGCCACACACATTATGAAATGGTAAGTGGAATTATTATTAGAAATATACAAATTTTAAATAAATGTAGTTAAGCATTGTTTGTCGTTTTCAGATTACGGATCCTGATCCTCAACTTCTATGATTAAGAAGCGTTCGGAAAGTTCGAGAGAATGGACTTAAAAAATTTTCGACAAACAAACAACATGGATTCATTCGAATTATATTGAATTAAACGCGTGCATAGTGCAGCTGCAAAAGAAAGGAATTTTAATCAATTTAAGAATGCTTCGGGAAGATGTTCTCTCCACAGTTCTGGCCTTTTAAACTTAACACTTCTAAATTACTCATCTTTATACAAAAATAGTTTAATGAATGATTAAATGCGACCAGAATAGTAATATTAAAAAAATGCAAATTCTCTCTGTAAGTACTTTTCGTTGTCTAATAAACACTTTTGTTTGATTTTGCATCGAATTATTTCAAGATCACAAAAACTGGTCGTTATTTTTGTTTTTTAGATTAAAATTAAAGCTTGAATTGTCGAATAATTCGAGTGATGCAGCTTTATGCCAGGTTCTAGACAAGTATGTAAAATGTTTACGATCGCAACAAGCACTAGATTATTTGGATGAAGAGCGAGCATGGAGCACAGCGCGATATCCATATTCAAAAATACTCCTGTGCCTAAACCCATCTGGTAGTCGGTTGCGGGTTAACGTTTTACCAATTACCACGTGGACTTTTCCGGTCTCTTTTTACGAGTCTAACACTTAAACGGACCAATTTCCCATAGAAACTTCTTCCGATAGACATTCTCTGTTGGCAGATTAGCCGTGTATCGTGTTGACCTAGCTCTTCAAACCAAACTAAATCAAAAATCAAATTACTGTATAAAGATTTTAAAATGAAGGAGAAAGATATTATAAATGTATTTCAGAATACTAACGTGAACAAAACGCGGAAAGCTTCCTGCGACTAACATGCTGGCGAGGGGCGAACCCCCGACCAACTTATCAGTGTTTAATGGTTTTATCCATTCACAAACGTCTAGACGCTGAGTGAACATTGATGTGAATTTCTTTGGCAGCGTGGTGCAAATGTAACGTCAGCTTTTTCGCCCGACCAGAAGAGTAAAAGCAGAGTCAATATATTATCTGGTCTCTGAATGCCTATTGTTTTCACCCTTAAAAGTAGAAGTAATGAACAAGTTTGCTGATAGGTGTGCTGAAATCGTTTGGGCTGTTGGTTGGTTTATATCCTATGCAAAAAAGCATTGTATCGGTGTAAAATAAATGTTATAATATCAGTAATTGCATAAGCAACTGTATTTTACAGAGCTAATCTTATTAATAGTGTTATTTAATACAAGTTAGTTTAAAATGAATGAATAGAAACTAATAATACATAAAAATTAATTTTACACAAACTTGTGTTTTATATAGCAAAGGATATACAGTAGAGCGTCGTTTATCCGAATTAATTGGGGACTGGGGTTGCTCGGATAACTTATTTTTCAGATAACCGATTATGTACGAAAAAATACATTAACCTATCCCGTGTTGAAATTTTTCTCCGTTGCGTGTCGCTTCGCGTTGAATTTTCGTCGATGTTAAGCCTAATGTAAACTTTTTAAAATAATAATCGTAGCTATAATATCGTTAAAAATTATTTTTTTTTTATTTTGTACAAACAAAATAAATATAGACTATTGAAAAATATAAAAACCAAAAAATACATACTTTAGAAGTTGATCTAGTATCAAAAACGTTCGATTCAGCATAACACAGTCCTCAGAAAAACACCACACAAAAGTAACAGTGCTGCCAGCTGAAACACATACTCAAACATAAAAAATATTGGAATAGCCCAAGATATAGCCAAAGATTGCAGCGCCACAGCACTAGAGAAAATTTAAATTTCCTGACTAAAATTCTTTCGGATAACCGACGTTTCGGATAACCGACCTTCGGATAAACGACGCTCTACTGTATTTAAAAGGCGACAGACAAATTCAGTTTATCTGAATAATTTTGAATCTAACGAAATTTTCATTACTTTATATGCCAGTCAAGTAAAATTTAAGAACATATAGTTATTTAAATTATTTTTAAAGGTTTCAAATTATTAAATTTCGTATTGATTTTAAGTCATTTATTAAATAAAAACATTCAGACGCTTAAAAATTAAAATTTTGTCATCTTTTAAAATTGTCGTCATTGTCTAGTTGTTACAAATGCTAGCTATACAGTATAAAGTTTATTAATGTACAGTAAATGATTAATTAATATGCATAAAAATTTTGAAACATTTTAAGCATTGTTATGTGTACATAACATCCATTGGATATAAATTGATTATTAATATCTCAGTACGGGGTGAAAATTAAGAAACGAAATTTGGTACGGTAGCTTGTATACGAGGGCATTGGTGCTAGAGCCCAGCAGTGGCCAAGCGGTCTTCGTACTGTGAACATTGGGAGTTCGGTCGTGGGTTCGCGCCTCGCTCGGACGGGCTGGCCACGTGAAGTTTTCCGGGTTTCCTCCACGTCTGTAACGCCTAAATAGGGGCCAGTTTCCCTTAAAAGAGCTCCTGGAAGACATCCCCCTAGGCAGATCGCTGAAGTATTGTGTTGCCATAACTTAACAAATAAACAAGCATTGATGCTATTAAATTTGATTATGAAAGATCAAGGGGATGAGAGATAGAGGGTGATCACGTGATATATTTCGAGATGAGTCGAACTTAATGAAAATTTTAAAATTAATTTACAAGTTCTTAATTCTTATCTACTTGTCATAATATGCTTCAATCGCCACTGTCTATCCGAGGACAAGAAAAACAAAATTGGAGACAATAAAAGTGTTTTTATTTTAACAATATTCTTTTTTTTTATAAATTATCAAAATGCATTTCGACTCTTATAAATTTTAAGCCCTCTTTAGTTAAAAAGTTTATAGCAACTAGTCTTAGAGAAACAACACTTCTCCTACATCACTACAATACTAGAACACCGTACATAATTTTGTCATAAATTCGGTAAAGGAGGATAATCTTAAGAAATAGATATTATAGTGTTTCAATCCTTTTTTACCACATATGTATTGGGCGTTCTAGTATTCAAAAAGGAAGCTCGAAGATGCATATAGCTTGTCAGCGAAGACAAAAATGATAAGTGAACGTTCCAGTTATTTCAATCTCCAGTAAAATTTTGTAAAAATCAACAGAACTTCATAATTAAACAAACAAACAAAATTATTAAAAAATTATAAAACTTTAAACAAAACAAGTATTCCGATTTTCAAATTTGTCCATGACGAATTTTTCTGGCAGTACTGATGTGAGAACATTTATTCTGATTTCTAATCTGGACATGGCGGACCCACTCGTAACTGTTTGTCTTCAGGCCATTAACTCGAAGTTATGCCACTGCCCTGGCAGTGGTATAACTTCAAGGGACGAGCAACGAGGCTCATTTTCATTTGCATAATTGTGTGAATGTTCGCAACTGCCGTATTTGGTCCGACGAAAATCCACACGTTCACCAATAAATTTCATTTCACTCACCGAAGGTAACGGTGTGATGTAGTTCCAAAGCATTCTTTAACACTGGTCCTTACTTTTTGAAGAAAAATTTGCATCTGGACTAATGACGTGTTCTCTTAATGTCGTTAGATGCGGAGACATTCTGTCAAACTTCGTCACTGAAGCAGAGGAATAATTTAAACACCACAATCTTTCATACAAAATGGTCCACATATCGGCTTAAATGTGTAGGTCTTACAGCAACAATATTTTTTGCATGAGAGAATGATTAGTCGGTCATTTCTAACGTCATGGCATCCAGGATCACTGGCTGATCTGAATACCTTTGCTATTTGGTTAAAGGAACCTCGTTTATCAAGACAATGTTTCCAACCTAGCTGCCTTAAAAGACAGAATTTGCCATATACCACAACTACACGCAAGCATTTGTGTGTTGTGCAGCGAATGAAGTTTTTGGAACATGGGGCACATGCTATCTTTGATGTAATCGTCAATTTCATACTCCATATCTATAATCAATCTGTAATTGAAATAAAATTATTGCACTTTGTTTCTTAATTTCCGAAATTCTGTAGAAAACATGCGTAATATGCGCATTACAGTAAATAGCATTAGGGGACAGTAGCGCCAAATTTCGCCCTAGCAGCTGAATGTTGAAGTAATTTCTTCCAGAAATCGAAACCCCATACTCAGAACAGTATATATATACCAAATTTAGTTGTTATTTTCCCAACAGTTCTTTCTACAGAGAGCTCTGAGCGCCTACTCTTTAATCATTAACCGCCCTATATTTTCCGTATATACACAAATTATTTGTTATGAATTCACTAAAATATATGAATGTATGATAATATAAATTTCTTTTAATAAAAAAATCTAAAATTACGCATGAAATTTATATCCAAAAATTAAAGTTTTTCAATTTTTAAAGTAGAAATAAAACTAAATGTAATTCGAGTCATTGAGAGGGCGCTGAAATCAAAGCACATTTGTTTTGTACTTATTCCAATAAAATTCCGTCCACAAGTTTTTTTAAATGTTTGTTTATCTGAGTAAAAAAGTAAGTTATTGTTTCATAAATTGATAATAAAATATTATTAAGAAATACCGATTCGACTGTACAAGTTATTTTCAAATTAAAATATAATGATTGAAATAAATTGATAAAATTCAAATCCTTTCATTTTATATCAATGGTGAAAGTATAGGTAGATATTTAATTTTTTTTTAATATATCAATATTACCAAATATTACATGATCCTTCTTTCTAAGTATTTTCTAAAATTTAAGTTCCGACTGCTGTAAACATTTCTGAAAAAGTCACATTGCTGACAGCGTGACGTCAATGTTTTTTAAGCGTTTTAAGCAACGTGATTTGTTCAAGAGAATGTTGACGTCATACGGAAATTTTGAATTTAAAAAAAACACAGATTTTTAAATTCAAAATACTCAATTTTATAAACATTTAAAAATAAAAAAAATGTTTGCAAATGACTAGAAATCAGATAAAGTTTAATATTTTCTTAGTTAATCATTCATTCTCTTTGGAATAGGTAAATTTGAAGTAATATTCCATAGAATTATTTTAATTTTATGTAAAAATATGTATTATTTTTGTTACATTTTTTTTCAAGTAAATTGATAAACATTAAAAAGCATAAGTTTTTTAACATCCAGAATTCTTCAGCAACATTTGTCTGTGCTGCTATAAATGCCACAAACTGGGGAGACTGAGTAGGCCACTCACTCACTTTTTCCTTGCTAAAAATGAAAGCTTAAAATGTAAATTAGAAACAAGCATAAACAAGTTATATAACTTATTTATTTAGGTTTTTTTTAAGTGGTAAAAAATATAGGGGTTGTTTCAGAGCCTAATAAATAAAGGTGATATTAAATTGAATTTATAAATTAAAGATATAAATAAAATGACTGAAAAGATAATTTGATAATTGTCATTTATCTAATTTATTTTATTAAAAATATGCAATATACTGCCAGTACACATATACAATTATTGAACATGTAAAGTTGTTTTTACTGAGCAACTGCTAGTATTCCATACTGGCTATTGATATTTTTTTTATGCTATAAGTGCATTCCAGCTGAAAAATAGTCCTAATATTCTTACCATGTTTATTTCTCCATATTTGCTCCTACATTTCAATAATTTATTTTTCTAGATTTTTAATGTGGGGCTGTCTATAAATGATATCCACACTGGGAGGAAGAGAGGGAGTTATGACAAGTCAGACAATGTTGGACAATGGGGGTTGAGCTTCAGTGAACATCCTGTTTATTTCATTAAATTTTATACAGTTTATGCATTTTATTACATTTAATTTAAAATTTCTTGTGTTTCATTTCTATTTATGGTATCTTTCATTCATAAAGTGATAAAGGTTTTGAGGGAGATTGAGTTTTGTTGGATATCTGAAAAGGGGGGTTACGGAAACTTGGACAAACTGGGATAAGAGGGAGAGGGGAGTAAAAAGTTCAAGAAAAATACAGCCGTAATTTATGGACAGCTCCTATGTACAGTACATTAATTCCACAGATTTCAATGTTTTTTTCTTATACAAGTTTATAATAAAGGATGAAAAACAAATTACATATTATTCTCATTTTATAGCAATGGTACAATTTAAATTGTGTTATCATCAAAATTTTGTATTTATGTAAATTTTATTAAAATTGTTTAATGATGTAAAGCTGCATATTTATTCATCAAATATAGATTGGCAGAGCTGCGAAGTATTTATTAGAAAAAGTAAAAATGGTAAAAAGAAATAAGAAAAAATATTAAATATAAATGTATTTTGAACTTTTGTTTTTATTACTTAAACTTTATCATTGACATATCATTATTATGTATTTTTACATCTAATACATAATGATAATATGAATATGATATTTTTATCATATATTTTCACTATTAAAAAAATTTTATTCCAAATAATTAAATTCTAAATCAATATATTTCATTTTCTAAATGAATTAAAATAGTTTTACAAAATTTTTACGAAGATAGATTTTTTAATCTTTGAAAATTTTTTTGCTAGATTGCCATACCTAATGACATATGGATAAGAACTATTGCTTGGAACAAAGAACATGGTTATATTGCTTGTGGTGGAGACAATGGCCTGTTAAAAGTATTAAAATTAGATTTAGGTATAATTTTTAATAGATATTTTTGTGTGAATTGATGTAATAATTTCAATATCAATTTTTAAAATTTTGGAAATTTTACCCAAATTATCAAACAGTAACAGAGACACTAACAGCAGAAATTTAAACTAGAATTTTTAAATTTTTAAAAATTTAAACATTTTAGAGCTGCAAAAATATTTGCTTAATATGTTTAAACTTCTCTTCTTAGTGTTTAGAAATAAATAAAATAAGTTATATTTTATCAATTAGTGACATTATAACAATAAAAATATGAGTCAACAAGGTATTTTTAAAAAAATTTGTGAACAATTTTTAAAAAATATCAAATAAGGTAAAACTGAAAATATCTGTAAAAATAAATACAGGATGGTATAAAAGTCTCCATGTAAACACAGACCACCTGAAAGGACAAAATTTTTTGTGTGTGCACATTACATCAGAGGTGTTAACCTGCATTCATTTTGATTGGAAGGAAAGTATTCAGTTAAGTTCTTAACAGGACTTATTATACCGACATTTTTTGTTGACTCTTAAGTCAACAAAAATGTCAGTATAATAAGCCCTGTTAAGAAGATGCAAACAGGTGAAAAATAAAGACTGTGTTTTTCTGATAGGCTTTCTTAAATTTTGCTGAACAAAGATGTCGGTATAATAAGCCAATTCTGTTAATAAAATAAGTCTGAGTAGACATTTTAAATACTAAACTAATCTAGCAATCATTTGGTTTTAATTAATTAAGAACTTAAGAATTGTATACTGCTATATTCTGTTGTCATTAAAAACAAATTACTGTTGAGCAAATATAATGATGCTTTTTATATTTAAATACATGTATATTTTATTGTTTATTTTCAATATCAGCTACTAATTTTGCTATCTCTTTATTTAAAATACAGTGGAACTCGCATATAATGAACTTGGTTTTATTGAACCAAACAGTATAGTCCTGGCAAATTTGCTATGTCTTAATGCATTTTTCATTTGATATAGTGAACACTTATAATGGAAACTTAGTTACATTGAATAAAATTATTCTGAGCTTCTATTTGAGAGACCATGATTACAGTGAACTGCCTCAAATGAACTCTAAAACACCTGGTAAACCATGTGCTGCTCCTTTTCCTAGAAAACATTTGTTGTTTACTAGAAAGTACAGTACTGTATTAGTTACTGACGTTAACATAACCTATGACTCACATTCTTCATTAACCTAGAATTCTTCACCCTTTTGTATTCAGTTGCATTCACAGCTTTGACAATGATCTTGCTACAGAAGTCCTTACAGATGAAGAAATTTTGCAATCTGTAATTCCCTTGAAAGAAAAAATGGAGAAAGATGAAGAGGAGGAAGAAAAAGAAAGTGATGAGTGCGAAGCAATTGTTTCTATTTCAAGTACTGAAGAGGTTAGCTAAGAAGGCACTAGAAATAATACAAATGTGGGAACTTGCCAAAGTTCAAGAAGAATCAGATGCAGATATATTCAAATAATGTTTGCCAATTGGAGAAAGTGCTAAACAAAAATCTCATTAAGAATTACAAATAAAAGTTGATTAGAGATTTTTTCAAAGTTGTACAGAATTAGATAGTCATAAAGGACAATAAAAGTGCTTCATAACTGCAATTCTACTGAATATTGAGTGAATTATTACATCTTTCAATGCATTTTAATCATTCTTTTGATACATGGTTATAATGAACTTTGGATACAATGAACTAAAACTAGTAGTCTTTTGCCTGTTCACTACTGTATCAGAGTTCCACTGTATATGGATTTTATAAGATATACAGAACAAGAAAGTTTCAGTTTGTGTTTTTTTTTTTAATTTAATAGTAAAAACAAATAGAATTTAATTTAAAAAAACTGAGAAAAAGGATAAAATAATGCAATATTTTTGTTTTATATATTTATTTATTTATACTTATTTTATTCTAGTAATAAATAGCTTTAAAATACCAAAAATTCTTGATTTCAATTTCTTAAAGAAATATTTCTCTTTTCATTATTTATTACAAAAAACTATTTGACTTAAACTAATTACTGTATAAAATAAGTAATATTATCATTAATACATAAGCTAGAACATTACAATATTGACAAATTATAATACATTAAAACTGAAATTATAATATTATAGAAATTAAATAATATAATTTCAAAATGAGATGCATAAGGAACTTATATTTAATTAAATAATTCTCAGACTATTTAAAACTTATTTAAAACTCTTATTTAAAACTCTATTTTATTTTATTTTTATATAAAGGAAAGGAAGGTAAAATTAGAGGTGTTGCTGCTCCTAGTAACTTATCAATGAATCAAACATTAGAAGGTCACAGTGGTGAGTTATGTAATTTGCTTATACCTGTAGTATTAAGTAAAATTTTATTTATTTATATTTATTTATTAATACAAGGGTTTTACTCTATGTACAGAAGTTAATTGATATATAGAAATCAGGGCTGTGGAGTTGGTAAAAAAACACTTGACTCCAATTCCCGACTCAGGCAAAATTAAATACCAAGTCATTTTATGGGGGACAGAGGCACTCATAGGGGATTACCCTACTCTGAACTCTAAAAGGAGTCCCGGGCATTTACCCAAATACTTTTATAGTTAATATTTTTAATATTTAACGTACATTAATATTTATTTGTATAAAAAAATTAATTTTTAACAAAAATTTAATAAGAGGAAAAAGGGGGAGTGATAAAATTCTACTTCTACATATCTTTATTCTACGGCTTTTGCACTTCAATTTCACCTTTCCAGAAAAGTTAGTCCAACTAAAAAGTGTGTGATCTAGCTACTTCAACCCTTGTTCAGAAAAGAAAAATATATACTCTGATCAATTAGTCTGGCTCATTCAGAAAAATAAGAGTACTTAATTATATAGAACAGGGATAATAATGGAATGAATCAAATACAGTGGAACCTCGGTATACGACCTTAATCCGTTCCTGGTGTTTGGACTTATACCGAATAGGTCGTATACCAAACCAACCTTTTCCATAAGAAGTAATGTAAAAATGATTAATCCGTTCTCATGTAAAAAAAATGGCTGACTTTAAACACCTCGCTTTCCTTGCTAATTTCTGCTTGATTTTTCATGAGATCAGCATGTATCCTTTTAACTTTCTCGCAAATAATTTCTTCCGATACGCTGTCGCCGGCACACTGTTTTTCAGTTATCCAAAGCAAAAGCAATTTCTCGACATGATCTAATGTCTTCGATCTCTGTTTAGAAATTGATTTAACCCCTTTCGCAACGTTAGCAAATTTAATAATGTCTTTATTTTTCACGATTGTCGATATCGTCGTTCTCGGAATACGGAATGCAACAGTTAAATCTCGAACACGCGTGCCACCTTCATATTTCTCAACAATCTCTTTTTTCAGTTCCGTTGTGATTCTAGTCATTTTTTTATTTTTCTGTTGCCCTTTTGCAATTCATGATTAATAAAAATAATAAAATGTTACTTACAAATTAAAATCAGAAGAAATTTAACAAAGTTATAAACCGTAGCACCGCGAACGTCTAGTCTAGTGTAGTACACCAATAGTGCTACTTGTTCATAGATGGCGCTTATAATTGAATTAAGTCGTATACCAAACAAAAGTCGTATACCGAGCAAAATTTGTTTCGTCCAAACAGGACGTATTCTAAAGCAGACGTATACCGAGGTTCCACTGTACATTCAATTGGGTCAAAATAATTTAAATACTAAACACAAATACTATAAAGAAAATTATTGATACATATTTAATAAATTAAATTGTTGCATTTTGTATTTAAAACAAATGAATTATAACAAAATACAAAAACCTGTTAAAAAATTATTAAATATAAAATAAATTTTCTTTCGTTTAAATAAAAAAAAACTAAATTAAATTTATAATGCTGGAGTCAGAGTTGGAGATGACACATTTTTCCTGACTCCGACTCCTCTGGCCAGAAATTCCTCCCGACTCTGACTCCACAGTCCTGATAGAAATTCAGTCAATATTTTGTGGTGGGATGTGTGACATTATCTTAAGTTAGAAGTATGTGAACATAATTGCAGAGTTTTATAGCAATTGGTAGAAGGTCTATGCATGCATAGTGAACAAACAAACATTCTTATTTAAATATATACATTAAGATTATAGAATGTGTATATATGAAATTGATTTCTCTTCTATTTTGAATAAGGTTGTAGTCATAAAACCATTTAAATTGCAATGATTTTGAAAATATTATCTTGTTTATTCAAACTTTTGGATTTATTATTTTAGGTTTATTAGTTTTATTGTCATACATAACAATAAATTATAAAAAATAAATAATGGATGAATTTTGGCATAAGTGGATTAATAAATAATTTTTAAAGATATTTTTTGTGTGTATACAAAATCTTACAATCTTTGAAAAGTACATTTTAAAAAAAGGGTTCATTAAGTTTATATTAAAAAAATTGTAATATTTTTCAAAGTAAAATAGGCTCCTGAATAATTTTGAAATAGTGTTTTATGTACAATTGTCAGTCATGCATTTTTTAATAGTTAAGTTTTAATAATAAAAAGTGAAATTGAACTAAACTATTTGTTACAAATTGAAATTGGTCCAAACTGCTCTTAATAGAAATGTACTTGGTGTTACATTTCACACATATCATCAATAATGCATAATTTTATTTTGTTATATAATATACAGTGACTCCAGTTTACCAGGTTTTTTAAAAATTTTATATTATAAACATTTGGATTGGGGAACCATTACAATACAAACAAATATATTGAGTTGTGGAAGCAAAAAGTTTGATAAATGCTGGTCTACACAATTTTCTCCATTTCAGCATGAATGTCTGACTGTTTTTTACCCAACATCCACAGAAAATGAATCACATTCTTCTGCTCTTCAGCTGTAGACAAACTCAGTGTTGATATAATTTTCTTTTCTCACTTAGAAATGCATGCTAAGTAGCAACAGCTATTCAAAGGAATAATAGAATAGCCAGAATATTCTTGCTTCAGGCTATTCACTTTTTGTAACAAAGAGAAATATCTACAAATTATTATGAATAAAGATGTATTACTTTTTGATTTTCCCTCATAATTTTGTTTTGAACATTTTCATTATTCTTAAAAAAGAAAATATTTTGTTGAATATTATCTCTGAATATAATAAACAACATTTTTATAAATGATACTTTTTAATTTTAAAAAATATTAATAAAAATAATTGAAATACTATTTTCATTATATTATTATAAATATAGTTCATTTATTTTATTTAGGTACAATTGAAGTTGTAACTTGGAATGAAACTTACCAAAAAATGACATCAAGTGATCAGAATGGGCTTATAATTGTTTGGATGTTATATAAAGGTGTCTATTTGATATTTCATAATTTTAATTTTCTATTAAGTTATTGATTTTATTAAAGATAACATATTATATTAATATTGATACATTTATATTGATATTGATATTGATCTTCCCATTTTGTAATCATTACACAAATTTTAGTTTTTTGCAAGTAAAATTAATGAGAAAATATTCTTAAAAGACCAGAAATCAAAAATTTGAACGATATTTTTCAAATAGAAAGTAGTGTTATTTCAAAAATATATGTTTTGTGAATTAGGTGAAAATGTATTTTACTTCTAGAAAGATTTAAAGTTTTATACTAATAAAAAATTACACAGTTAAATGAAATATGAATTAAAGTTAGTAATTTCAAACAGATATTATAAGAATATTTCTGTTTTAGTTCATAATACTGGAATATATATATTTTTTAACAGAGTTAAATTTAATAAGGATCTATAGTTATACACTGGGGGTGACTTCATACACAGGGATTGATTTTTTTATTATTGTAATAATTTGCTTTTGATTTTTTAAATGAATACTTTCTCTTAATAAAAGTTTGCTAGTTTATACATGAAATAACTTTGTAATCTAGTTACACCAATTATCAAACATTAGAGTCTTGCTGAAAGGTATATATTATAATTGAGATATTTATTGTTTAAGTATTGAATAACCTAATTATAATACACAAGGAATATTGTTCAATGACCCTCTCCAATATTGATGATTTTTATTTATTGTAGAACATCAGAACTTAAGACACACATATATTTTTGTATTGGCAAAATGCATTTCTTGGAGGTGAAATTGAAATTTAAATTAAACCATTGTTGTTGATAAAAATCTTTCATAATTTAAATTTGTTTTCAATATTATTATTTTAATTGCTTGATCACAATAATTCATTTATTTTTCTTTTGCAATAAAATTTCTTTTTTTATTTTGAATTCTATCAATAGTTCTCAATTTTTCTAAAGATATGATGCTCTCTTTTTTTGTAAAAAACATCCTGTATCCCTACATGTTTCATAAAGGCATTCAAATCATAGTTTAGGATATATCCTATTCTATTCATGTAATAAAACTAAAATTTTTTTACAGTTTTTTTTATAATATACTATTATATTTCAAGCAAAACAAAAATAAAATAACATAGCGATACTGCTACGTTAAATGATCTTTTGTGTTGTGATCAGTGGTGCACCCAGAGGGACCAACGGGCCCTGGCACTTTTCAAAGAAAAAGGGAAAAAATCCAGCAACAAGTTGCTTAACTTTCCCAGAAATATTTAAACTGCATGTGTGGTGCCATCTGTTAAGATATTTTATTATTAAATATTTTTATATTTTTAATTATTATAAAATGGCAAAAAGCTTAATTTTGAGGGTAGGGATGGGTTTTTAAAAAGTTGTAAATTGTAATAATGAATGAAATTTTCAATAAGTCTGACTTTACCTGAGATATAGCATCAAAATTTAATAGAATCAATACCCCTAATATACAAACTTTCCTGCAAAAGTTTCAGAAATTTTTGACAAAAAGCAGAGTTATAGGCTTCAAAGAGGGTGACTATAATTGTGTCTTACATACATATACACACACACTAACAACTATACATACATAAAAAAATCGTCCATTTTTTTGCATTTCTTGATGTTTCATGGTCCCAAATCCAAAAATGTAAAAATCTTGGGAGGGATTAGTTTTTGACTCATTGCCATACTTTCCCTGTTATATATAACAGTGCTGGGAAAGTAAAAATATAAAATTTTTCAAAAATGTTATCCTAGTTAAAATTTATTTATTTATTTATATTATGCTGTTTCTTCTATTTCTGTACTGCTTATCAATTAGCAGTCACATAAGGTGGGAATTTTATTGAATTTGCATTAAAATTATTTTTATTCATTCAACTCTGCTCCCCAAGACTAAATCTTGAGTTTGTCACTGATTGTGACTGTTGTGCTCCTGAGGTGCTGAAAAAGGACAGAATATAAAGACCTTTATATTTTCTTCTTATTTATGAATGTTTTTATATTCTGTTATTTTCCTGACCATTTTATTTATTAAAAAACTTTTATGATGACTACAACAAAAGTTTATTTTGTTTACTTTGTCATAATTACAATGATAACTTACATTATAGTAATATTAATAATATAAAGGATTTGTGAGTTTTTTTAATGATATAATGTATTAAAACTGCTAGATAAAATGCCACATATCAGAAATTTTACATGAAAATAAACAATAATAATGATAATTATTGGTGAAATGAACCATCAAATACAGATCATTATTATTCATTGGTTCTCAAACTGTGGGGTGAGATACTAATTATAAAGTTAGAATATCTAATAGCTAGACAAACTTGTTTTATACTGAATTTAGCAATATACCTTTAGCAATGAATTTTTTATTTGATATATTATAATCAAAGTATTTAAAAAATAACACACATTTCCACCTTTACTTTCACTATCTTTTGATTTAGTTTATTTATGTTTGAAGAAATTTTAGGAATAACATTGAAATCAGCATGCTTAAATTAGTTTCATACAAAGCAATCAATGAACATTCCATATAGAAATATATCCATAATATAAATATACTAAAACNTATATTGATATTGATATTGATCTTCCCATTTTGTAATCATTACACAAATTTTAGTTTTTTGCAAGTAAAATTAATGAGAAAATATTCTTAAAAGACCAGAAATCAAAAATTTGAACGATATTTTTCAAATAGAAAGTAGTGTTATTTCAAAAATATATGTTTTGTGAATTAGGTGAAAATGTATTTTACTTCTAGAAAGATTTAAAGTTTTATACTAATAAAAAATTACACAGTTAAATGAAATATGAATTAAAGTTAGTAATTTCAAACAGATATTATAAGAATATTTCTGTTTTAGTTCATAATACTGGAATATATATATTTTTTAACAGAGTTAAATTTAATAAGGATCTATAGTTATACACTGGGGGTGACTTCATACACAGGGTTTGATTTTTTTTATTATTGTAATAATTTGCTTTTGATTTTTTAAATGAATACTTTCTCTTAATAAAAGTTTGCTAGTTTATACATGAAATAACTTTGTAATCTAGTTACACCAATTATCAAACATTAGAGTCTTGCTGAAAGGTATATATTATAATTGAGATATTTATTGTTTAAGTATTGAATAACCTAATTATAATACACAAGGAATATTGTTCAATGTCCTTCTCCAATATTGATGATTTTTATTTATTGTAGAACATCAGAACTTAAGACACACATATATTTTTGTATTGGCAAAATGCATTTCTTGGAGGTGAAATTGAAATTTAAATTAAACCATTGTTGTTGATAAAAATCTTTCATAACTTAAATTTGTTTTCAATATTATTATTTTAATTGCTTGATCACAATAATTCATTTATTTTTCTTTTGCAATAAAATTTCTTTTTTCATTTTGAATTCTACCAATAGTTCTCAATTTTTCTAAAGATATGATGCTCTCTTTTTTTGTAAAAAACATCCTGTATCCCTACATGTTTCATAAAGGCATTCAAATCATAGTTTAGGATATATCCTATTCTATTCATGTAATAAAACTAAAATTTTTTTACAGTTTTTTTTATAATATACTATTATATTTCAAGCAAAACAAAAATAAAATAACATAGCGATACTGCTACGTTAAATGATCTTTTGTGTTGTGATCAGTGGTGCACCCAGAGGGACCAACGGGCCCTGGCACTTTTCAAAGAAAAAGGGAAAAAATCCAGCAACAAGTTGCTTAACTTTCCCAGAAATATTTAAACTGCATGTGTGGTGCCATCTGTTAAGATATTTTATTATTAAATATTTTTATATTTTTAATTATTATAAAATGGCAAAAAGCTTAATTTTGAGGGTAGGGATGGGTTTTTAAAAAGTTGTAAATTGTAATAATGAATGAAATTTTCAATAAGTCTGACTTTACCTGAGATATAGCATCAAAATTTAATAGAATCAATACCCCTAATATACAAACTTTCCTGCAAAAGTTTCAGAAATTTTTGACAAAAAGCAGAGTTATAGGCTTCAAAGAGGGTGACTATAATTGTGTCTTACATACATATACACACACACTAACAACTATACATACATAAAAAAATCGTCCATTTTTTTGCATTTCTTGATGTTTCATGGTCCCAAATCCAAAAATGTAAAAATCTTGGGAGGGATTAGTTTTTGACTCATTGCCATACTTTCCCTGTTATATATAACAGTGCTGGGAAAGTAAAAATATAAAATTTTTCAAAAATGTTATCCTAGTTAAAATTTATTTATTTATTTATATTATGCTGTTTCTTCTATTTCTGTACTGCTTATCAATTAGCAGTCACATAAGGTGGGAATTTTATTGAATTTGCATTAAAATTATTTTTATTCATTCAACTCTGCTCCCCAAGACTAAATCTTGAGTTTGTCACTGATTGTGACTGTTNTTTTTTTTTTTTTTTTTTTTTTTTTTTTTGTTTCTTCAATTATTTGTTCTTAAACTAGCAAGCTTTTTTCTATTTAAATTTTTCTTATAGATTTTTCTTTTAAACCATCTCACAGAATTGTATCTAATTAAAATTTATTCTATAAAATATATATTATATATTATAAAATTCTTATTATTTATATTAAGTTTGAAATCATTATTGAAAAGTTTATGTTAGATACTTTTATTTTAATTTAGGTTCCTGGTATGAAGAAATGATTAATAATAGGAATAAATCAGTGGTTAAAGGAATGGCATGGAATTCTGATGGACAAATGATCTGCATTGTTTATGAAGATGGTTAAAAGTTTTAGCTCTTTTTTTAAGTTATTAGAAAAAATTATTAATTTTATTAATTTTCCTTCTTAATTAATATAGTATTCTTAAAATATATAGTTAAATATGTATATATATATATATATATAAATACCATAGTTTCTTTTATTCAATTATGTAATTTTTATTAAATAGATGCATGAAATAATGCATATATTGACATAGATTGAATGTGTTGTCAAGAAATATGACAGGACGTTTTCTGTAACCAATACTATTTACTATTCAATTTCTTCAATGATACGTTGAAGAAATATGACAGTATCTCAGCTACCATAACAGGAAGACTATTCTTACAGACTCTTTCAAAATACTTCATAAACATACTAAAGAAATTTCAGAAAAATGCTTATTGTTACAGACATATCCCAAAAGTAAAGTACAATCTTTTATAACAACTTAATAACAAATTAAATTAATCATTTGAAAGTACACAGTTATTTTTCTACATAGTTACCATTCTTTTCTAAACAATTTTCTCAGTGGGAGATAAAAGTGAAAATTACTTTCTGAAAAAATTCTCCACTTAATGATTAAAACAAGTTCATGACTGCATCTTTAACTTTATTATCATCTGAGAAGCTTTCAAGATGTTTCTTAAGATGACCAAAAAGATAACAGGGTGCTAAGTCAGACTGTGTGCACCATGATCCATTACTTCCATAATTACTTTTTTTAGCCAGTCTGAAGTCCGATGTGCCATATGGAGATTTGTATTATCATTCTGTGTCTAATCTGGACTTAGTACCCTCTGATTTTTGTCTTTTTGGACCTCTTAAGAAACATCTTGGTGGCTTACACTTTTCAGATGATGATAAAGTTAAAAATGCAGTTATGGACTTGTTCAAATCATTAAGTGGAAGCTTTTTAGAAAAAAATTTTGTCCTGTTGTCATCTACTGGAAAAATTGTTTAGAAAAGTATGATAACTACGTAGAAAAACAGCTTAGACTGTGTTTTTTGAAATAGCTCATATAATTTTTTAAATGAGCTATTTCAAATTTTAATGTACAGTAGAGCGTCGTTTATCCGAATCAATTGGTGACTGTGTTGTTCGGATAACTTATTTTTTGGATAACTGATTATGCATGAAAAAATATATTAACCTATCCCGTGTTGAAATTTTTCTCCGTTGCGTGTCGCTTCGCGTTGAATTTTCATCGATGTTAAGCCTAACGTAAACTTTTTAAAATAATAATCGTGGCTATTGTATCGTGAAAAATTGTTTTTTTATTTTGTACAAACAAAATAAATATATTGAAAAATATAAAAACCAAAAAAATATACTTTAGAAGTTGATATAGTATCAAAAATGTTCGATTCAGCACTACACACAGTTCTCAGAAAAACACCACACAAAAGTGCTAGTGCTGCCAGCTAAAACGCACACACCAACAAAAAAAATATTGGAGTAGCCCAAGATATAGTCAAAGATTGCAGTGCCACAGCACTAGCAAAAATTTAAATTTGCTGACTGGAATTCTTTCGGATAACCGACTTTCGGATAAACAACGCTCTACTGTAATTTGTTATTGAGTTGTTATAAGAGATTGTATTTTATAATCTTATATATTTGAAAGATCTTAATGTATTTAATCTATTAAGTTTCAATTTTTAATTTTTACTGGTTTATCAGATATATCTGTTTAAATTTAATATACCATTCTGTTATATATTGAAAGTTGACTATTAAATATTATAATAGATATGGTAATATTCATAAAATATATTCAAAACAATTGAAACATTAAAGTATTCAGTTTTCTCATTGACAATCTCATAGATTTTTTTTATTTTCAATGCAGAGGATTCTGGTTTCTGTTATTTTACTAATTTTATTTATTACTAGCAGATGAGCCCAACATTACCCGGGCAAGAAATAACAAGAAGAAAGATTAAGTTTATTAGATTATTTCATACTTCTAACCCTTCTATTATTTTATAGTATTTGATTTTACTACAAAAGTTATCTTACTAAGGTTTTATCACACCAAGTGACCACCAATCTAACACATTTAAAAATTTTTTCAATTGTGTACAGTATAGGAATAATATTTCTTAAACTTAATATAAAATAAATTAATATTTCTTAAAAGAATTACTGAGAATTAATGAAACTATTTACAATACCAAAAATTTAAAACTTCAAACAATTTAGACAAATTTATATGCATGTGTAATATAAATATAACTGTGATATTTTCTTTAAAATTTTTTAAATGAAAGTTGTTAAATATAATTTATCTTTTAAATTAGGTGCAGTAATTGTTGGTTCAGTTGATGGCAACAGAATTTGGGGAAAAGAATTAAAAGGAACACATCTAAATCATGTTGAGGTACAAAACTTTTTTGTTTTTATTGAAATTTTATGTAACTGATCTGTGGTTTTGAAATTGTAACATAGATTATATTTCTTAAATAATATAACTGAAACATTTACTATTAATCAAAACAACAAGTGTTGAAGCTTTCTTAGAAATGCAATTTTGAAAATGATATGATTACCCATTAAATTAATGATGTCAAATGCAAAAGTGATCATGTCTGTTGATTTTGAATTAATGTTTTGAATTCAAGTCAGAAGAATAAGACAGTCACTTTTTAATTGTTTGCAATAGAAAATTATAATTAAGAAATTATAGAATGAATTGAAATGTGCATGAAACAGTTTTATTCAAATAAACAGATGAAAGCTTCAGGAAAATGAGCATTCATTTTACTTTCTGTAATAAATGCAATCAATATATCACTATATACTTTCATGTTTCATGCATTCCATATTTTATATCTGTTTGGTGGTTATAAGAAATATAATTATACATATTTGAAAACTAAATAAAAATTAATAAATGATAGGAAAGTTGATACTTAAAATTAATGAGAAGTAATCAGAAGGGACAAAATAAACCTTATTAAGTTTTTTATATATATTTCATTAATGATAAATTATAATAACTTTTATCTGTTAACTATCTTAATTGTCTTGGAGGAATAAGACACAAATTATTGCAATAAAATCATAACTATCTTAATATTTTAAATTTTACAAATAAAATAACAGTAAAATAGTACAATTAAAGTAGTACTGATTTTTAAATTAAACTGGCAATGTTTATTATGTGATCAATTAAAGTGTTAAAGTATAAAGCAAGTACCTTAGAAACTTAGGAAATTAATTCACAGTTTAGCTAAGCTAGTAATTAAGAGAAAAATAAATTACAACAAAGAAAAAAATATTAAAACAAAATTATTGGTATGATGGTTACAGAGAGGCACCCTCCAATAGACGTGCATTACATCTTCATACTTGGCAATCTTCAGATTGAAGAATAGCTGGGAAAAATGTAGTGTTGCAACGAATAGTATATTTGGCCTCAAGCTGAATACCAAATATTCGGCCAGGAATATGGCCGAATAGCCAAATCTTTGGCCAAACTATTTGGTTTGATTAACACATGTACGAAAATTGGCACGCAAACTGCATTATGGCAAGCACCCTGCTCTCTATTGGCCCGCTGTCACTACTCTTCACCAATCACGTTAATTCTTGACAGTTGTAGCGGACAGACAAGAGCGTCATGGCAGTATGTGATAAATGATGATATCAAATGTGGATAACAATGAAATGACCTACACGTGCAAATAACAGAAGAAGAACAGAGAAGGACCGCAAAGTGAAAATGTGAAAATAAATATGAAATTGAGTTGATAACATAATTGAACAAGTTGAGGCAGCTTTTATGCTTGAAATTCGCGGCCATCAATGCCAAACAATTGTTGTCATAGACTTTGAAATGCTAAACGCTTGTAATGAAAGTCACTTAGCATGCACGGGCGAAAGCCTGTTGCTGTTTGGGCTACCGAGCTGTCTCGAATCTGTGAAATCATAACTGTGACTTATACCAACATCCTCTCTGTCTCTTTTCTCCATTATCATCAGGCTATGAGTCACTTAATTGTATAGTGAGAAATCTATGATGGAAAAGTGATGAATCAAAAGTATCGTGCACACGTATTATGTTATATGCATAGGCATACGTGGACTAGAACGACAGAGTAAAGAGAAAGGGAAGAGCAAAGACGAGCGCTTAAAAAGAAGGATAGGCAGGGTTAGACCCTCAGATGTGTGACGATTCTCGAACGAATAGGTGTGTACGTGTGCTGATCTTTGTAATTATAAATTGTGAATACATGTGACTAATATTATTTTCTTTTTATTTTGTGCATGTTATAAGTTATAAATAAATATAAACAAACAACACTAACCCGATAACATTAAATCTAAATACCAAAATGATTAATTTACTGTGTTTTTGTTATTTCTTACTCCTATTTTTTTAGGTATTCGGTATTTGGCCAAATAGTGATTAAATATTCGGTATTCGGCCGAATACCAAATAGTAACCGAATATTCATTACATCACTAGAAAAATGTTGATAGAAGAACACTGATTTTTGAATAAAATATCCTACAGTGTAAAATGTGAAAAATTCTCTATATTAACATTGACATTGCATAATGCATGTAAAATACTTTAATAAGCAAAATTAAATGTTATCTCTGCATATGATATCACCATAAACACTGTCAAGAGTATGGTCTAACTGTAAAAGTAACTCATTTCCTTCAGCTGATGAGTCAGCCATAATTGATTTAACTGAAATGGCACTAACATTGCCAGATTTCAAGATGCAATTTATATTATCTGCCATTTAAAATTATCAAATTTGAACTAAAATTCTCATACATATACAAATATATAAAAATTCTATATAAAATTCTATAAAATTTTCATACATATATAAAAATATCAATGTTGGTTCTTAGAGATTTTTTTTAATTAAAAATATCAAAAATGTTCTGTAGAAAGTTTATCAATCATCTAGAATTTCTCTACCAGTCACTTAGATAAGTACTAACAAAACATGAAAATATCTAAATTCAGTTCTATAGGGTTTTGGAAAGGTCAAATCAAATAACAGCTAACAACCCATTTATTTAGGCACTTCAACCTAGTTCCTATCTTACATCCAACTCAAAAACTGGATAATTATGAATAAAACACAAATTAAACCATGCTCCAGTTAGAAACATTTAAGGTATACTCAATAAACAAATATTTTCAACAGCATTCAGCTACCAGCATCACATAATCGCCAGTGTTGGAAAATAGAACATAACATCAAATTTTAAAAATAGTGAAATTATGTCTGTTGGGCATTGCTGTAATGATGTAGAAAATTATAAAGGGGCTACAAATAAAAATCTTCAGGTCTGATGAAAGGTGTTAGTGTCTTTAAATTAATTGCAGCATTTTCTTATAAGCTTTATATACAGTATTTCTAATATTTTGAGGGGTTTGAGGAATGGAAGCTCTCTGATTGGATGTTGGAGATCGGCCCCATGTAAGTGTATTGTATCTACAATTATTAAAAACTTTTGTTTATGGAGTAAATCTTAAATGTTTCTATCTGGAGTGTAGTTTAATTTGTATTTTGTTCTAGTTCTTATCAATCATCAGTCTCTTTAAAAACTAAATTTTAGCCAGTTTCAAAACTTTTTTGTATTCCAGCTTTTTTACTCATTCCAACTCTCATTCAATTCCCTGCAACAACTGAAGATCAAAAACATCTTGTTCTCTCTCTCTCTTTCTCTTTTGAATCTCTTAAAGACATTCTTTATCTTTAAGAGTTTCTCTTTAAGATCTTTAGCTTTAGTTACTAGTATAGTATTTAGTTTTCCTTTTTAATTATTGATCATAAATATTGAGATATGTTATGTTATATGGCTGTATGTCAAAATTTTAAGTTATAGAATATTTCTGGATTGTGGTTTCTGTCCTTGATTCTTATCATTTCCTGTTTCTAGAACTTTCTCCTGCCCTTTATTTCTACTTCACTTGGGTGTTGATTGACATTCTGAACTGTCCTGTGGGGAGAGTTAATGCCTGAGGGCCCAAATGTGGAAGTAATGGTTTTTTGGAGAAGGGACAGGAGAACACAGACAAGAGGGAGATGGTTGATCTGGACCATAATGAAGAGCCAAGGAATTTTCTGAAGGCTTTGCCACCAAAGTCCTAAGGCTTAAGACAATCTCCGTTATCCCCAGAAAAATGGTATACGATAACCTCCGCAAAAGGAAGGACGAAATCCCACCGAGAATCAACTAAAATAGTCATCTCAGATACAAAAGGATTAACCGAGTGTGGGTACCCCCTTTCCTTTCTCTATTCTCTGTCTTCTTTAATTTCCCATTCCACATCTTTGGGCATAAGTTAGTTTTAAAGGGTAAAATTTTTGAAATATATATTGCATCCCTTTTTATTATTGTAAACATGAAAACCTCTTTGTTTGTCACACAGGTCCATATGCTGCGTGACACACATTAGAACATTTGGAACAAAAAGGTCCAAACATTGAACCCGTTTGTTCTTGGGCCGAGCTGGGTGAACACTCTAGAGTTGGTTTTCAAATCCTTTTATTGTGCATTCTGTTATCTCAAATTTATTGTTATTTCATTTTATACTGTCTCAATATTGTTGTATTAAGGCAGTGGTTCTTAACCTTTTAGTGATGAGGGACCATTTATCAAAATTTTTGTCTTGCCATGGACCACGAGCTGTTTGGCAGTAATATAGATTCTTATAAGGTTGTTCTATAAATTAAACATATATAAAATTATTCGGAACCAAGAGTATTATTATTTGCAAAAATGTTACATTAATTTTATTATTTTAGTGCGATTTTTGTGACTGCATACTGTTTACCAACTGCTGAATTCTTGGTTCAGTACTACTCAAACCCAAACGCATGTCGGCACTGGCATCCAACTGATATCGATGTTTATTTTTAATTATCAAAAGCACTGAGAATCCTTATCGCATAAATATGGGGTTGAAAATAAAGTTAGGTACCGTAAAGCAATTTCTCGAATTTTAGGGAAAGCAATAGCTTTTTGGCTCCAAAAATCTTCAAGATTAATTCCTGTCTCGAATGTATCCTTGCAGTTACTATCGTGTTGCATTTGAATTAACTCTTCTTGTATTTCATCCGGCACCTCAGAAATGTTGACTATGAAAGGATTGCGAATCAGTTTCCGAATACCTTTGTCCTTGCAGTCAGGAAAATAGCGATTGAATTCATTTTTCAAGTTTTGCAAATGGAATGTAATATTCTTTTGTATTTGTCCTTTAATCTCAGCGCACTGTCTGTCAATAATTGGGTTCAATGTATCAAACGCAGAAAAATTCTCTCTTTTGACTTTGCTGATCCATGGGTCGATTTTAGCGATAAATGCACTGATTTTATCTTCAAATGCAATTATATTGCTAGTGCCTTCCAATTTCATATTTCCTGACACTTGCAGTTGAAGGTTCAATTTAGTTGTGCAAAAAAATCTATTAAATAAGCAAAATGTATTTGAAATTTGAACTGACAGAACTCAGACAGCAACTCTTTGTTTTCCTTATTAGTTAAGAATAAATTTACTTCTTCTCTCAGTTCGTACAACCCCGACAGCATATTTCCTTTGGAAAGCCATCGCACTTCGGTGTGAAAAAGTAGCGTTTCATGTTCAGAGTTCATATCACTGCATAATTTTTTGAAGAGACGAGTATTAAGTGCACTCCTTTTAATGAAGTTCACTACTTTTATAGCTGTTTTCATCGTAATAGCAAAGTATTCCAGGAAAGTTTTAGCAGCCAATGCTTGAATCATCGTCATTTATTTAATAATTTTAGGATGACTTCACGGACCACTTAGGCTGCTTTCAGGGACCACCAGTGGTCCACGGACCACAGGTTAAGAACACTGTATTAAGGTGATAACCTTAGTGGTAATTGGACACAATTGCACTTTTTACAGTTACCCTTTTGTAGAACTTTATATATGTACTTACACCATCCTTTCTTATGCTTATTTCATGTAAATAAAATAGTTTAGTTCTGAGTTAATTAACTAAATTTATGTGTTTTCATATTTCTTTTTGTATAAAAAGCATATTTCATATGCTTTTTATACAAAAAAGACTAACTAGAATTAGTTTGGTAATGATGATGAAATGAATAAATTAACTTGATAATTTTTCTTAAAATATGCTGCAGACAATTATCAATAATAATTTTTAATCGAGATTACTGAACTTGTTTTAGTAACAGCTACATCAGCTTCATCATTAATTAATATATAAATTGCAGAAATTATTTATTTTTAATATTAAATGCAATTATATTTATATTTTTAATGAAAGCCAAAATTAATACTTTTTTGTTTGAAGTAAATAAACTTTAGACAATAAAATATTAATTTTAGTTTTCATTAAAAATATAAGATATAATTGTATTTAATTGATGACCTTCTTCATTATTTTAAATTAATTATCCTTTAAGTTATGTAATGTTGGATCATATTATTTAAGATGTGCTTTTAGTTTCACATTACAGAAATTTTATATTTATTTAAAATTTACAGTGGTCTCCAGATGGAAAATTACTTCTGTTTGGAATGCAGAATGGAGAAATTCATATTTATGAACAAAGTGGAAATTTTGTAGTTAGTATTGAAAAAGTTTGGGATTTATAATTCTTATTACATTAACTTGATTTTTATATTATTTTTTTTTAATGTTTAAATCTAGGCCAAATTAAATCTTTTGTGCCTTAGAAATGTCTCATCTATCAGTTTGATTGGAATTCAGTGGTATAATGGCAAAGGTGGCCTTTATGAAGTAGGATGTCCAACTCTTGCAATTGGATATAATAATGGAAAAGTACAGTTAATGAAAGATGAAAATGATGATAGTGAGCAAAATAAATAAAATTTATCTTTTAATTGTACTTATTATTTTTGTAATTTAGTATAATATTTTTAAGATCCTATTATACTGGACACTGATATCAGTGCAACTTGTCTTCGTTGGAATCATGATGGTAGTATATTGGCTATTACTGGAAAACTGTACAATTCTGATGCAGATAAGAGAAATGTTGTTAAATTCTACTCACCATATGGAAAGGTACTCCAAATAGTTTTTACTAATAGTCTTGGATTTAATTTTTATAAGTATACATTTTGTTAAAAATTGTAGAACTTTAATTTTTTCTTTTAATTTTTTTTAGTTACTACATACTTTAAGAGTACCTGGAAGAGATATAAGTGCCTGTACATGGGAAGGAAGAGGATTACGAATAGCATTAGCTGTTGATTCTTTTATATTTTTTGCAAATATCCGTCCTGATTATAAAGTAAATAATAAGTTTATACTATAATAATATAATTTTTTCTAGAAGTTTACATTTAAAAAACTTTATGGTTTTTCTACCACACTTTGTTGAATGTCAATATTTTAAACCTTCACTGGATCATTTTTAGGCTTTTCAATTTGTTACTGTAAATAGAATAATAAGTATAAAGATATGATTTTTAACATTTTGATTAACATTTTATAATTTAACATCTTATAAAAAATAAAAGATTAAGTCATATGCTTAATTACACAGATAAATTATAATTTTTGAGAAAACTTGATTAGATAGACAATAACTATGATTTAAAGATCTGAATTTTATTTATAAAACAATAAGTATAAGAGAAAATATCAAAGATATCTATTATTACACCAAGTGATCTAAATTCCTTTGAAATAGCAGCCATTTGTAGTGACAAGAATGTAAAATTTTCTTTATTTTTTTTAATGAAATTATAAACTGGGTTTTTCCCTTTAATTTAGTATGCATTTTATTTTGGTTCTTGCTTATTTATAACTTAATGTGTAATACAAAACTATGTTATAAAGCTTTTTATATTAATTAAAAGCACTCTTGTCTACTTTATTTAAGGCTTCATCAGTTACAGATATTTGAACAGGCCTTTTTATAGTTGCTAGTTATTTTATAAGTTAACCAAACCATAAATATAAGTGCTAATAAATTCTCTCTCAAAACAATTGTAATAGTAACTAGTCATTATTATTAATTAAAGTCTGTGTCTGTCTTCTGTTTTGCAAATACAATTTATTTTAATTTATTTAATAAAATGTGTAAGTTTCTTACCAGTATAGTCTCTTACAGTATAGTTTATTACCAGTATAGTTTCGTACAGTATAGTTTCTTACCAGTATAGTCTTCTTATCAGTATAGTTCTTACCAAATAGTGTTGTAATCCTGATTTAATATATGCTTGAACATTTCATATATGTAACATGGTTATGTTACATTTGAAATGAATTCTATTTAGAATATAATTGATCTCAGTTTAGAAAACTTTTAAATGTTTGAAATGTTACATTTATATAATAGCAATTAGTGCTGAAAAACTAATATTATAGGATTTTTTATAATGTAAATTTCTTGAATTTACTGATTCATTGTTAATGTAATGATTTAAGTCTTTTAAAAGTTTTGTTATTACTTATGTTCCAAGTTAAATTCCTTACAAATATATGCTTTAGTTTATTGAATTGATTGACTATAACTCCCAAAATGATCCAATACATATCCATAAAGAAGGAAAAAAATCTTGTTGAGGAAGACAGGAATTCTGTTAATATCTTTAAAATAAAATTCATGAATTATAAAAAATCTGTATATAGTGTCTTTATATTTTATTTTTATAGTGGTGCTACTTTTCCAATATAGTTGCTTATTCTTATAATAAATCTGATCGATCAGATAATACTGTGATATTTTGGAATACAAATTCTGATGAGGTTTGTAAAATTATTTATCAGTGTTTAAATTTAAATTTTTAATTAAATATTTTATGTTTTTAAAAACTTTCTAATTCTATATAGAAATACATTAAATATGTTAAATGTCTTCTTGGTATTGTCTCTGAAGGAGAATTTTGTGTCCTTGCAACAAAAGCAGATGATGGAAGTGGTCAGGTAAAATCAAGTTGAGACATACAAATTTTTAAGTTAATGTATAAAATATGCATTAGGTTTTATGTATAAATTTGTAATTTCATATAAATTCATGTATTTTTTAGTATGCACTGATTCTATGTAATGCAATCGGAACACCAGTGGATTCACGATACATAGACATTGAACCAACTTTTTTGGCAATGACTAACTCTCATATATTTGCTGCATCAAAAGAAGCATTTTATCAATGGCATTTTCATACTCCTCAAGGGCAAACTGTGTTTGAACTTACATCACAAAGAATTAAAATAGGACAAGAAAAGTATAGATTTTCATTTTAAATTTGATAAAATAAACGAATTACTTAATAATATACAATTTTATTATTTAGATTGTATCATGTGGATGACATGCCTAGTGGTGCCACTGATGTAATGAAAGATGTTGAACATGTATATAAGGTATAATAAACTGAAGTTAATCATTTTTATTATACTGTGCAGCTAATAAAATCATTATCTTATTTTAAGCTTGCAAGGATTATTTTTATTATTATTATAACTAATTTGAAGAGAGTATTTAATTCCCCTTTACACTCCTAATTTGTTATTGGGAAAAAATATCTCATTAAATTTATCATTCATTTTTTGTTATCACTGAAGGAATCACTGTTAAATGAACTAGAAAAATGTTTATGTATTTTACACAAAATCTTAAGGATTTATTTTTGTATAAAATTTTGTTTTATTAAAATCATTTAACAATTAATATTTTAACCACTTGAAATTAGATATTGACTTTGCTTAATATGATTAAGTTTAATATTATTTTAAAAGTTTTAAATAAATATTTTAAAATTAATAAAGTAATTAAGTATTCATTTTTATAGCCTACAGATAACCCAATATCATGCATTTGTGCATCAGATAAAATATTAATAATTGTGAGTATTTTAAATATATATATTGATATTATAGACTGTATAGATTATTATAATTAATTACTGTTTAAAATTGAAATTAAATAATTTTAAATAAGTTTTTTGCTAATTTTATTTAGGCCTTACATTTACATCATCTGATTTATATGATTCAAAGATAATTGAAAACTTTAATAAATATTAAATTTTAAAATTAATTTTTATTTTTAGGGTAGAGAAAGTGGAAATTTTCAAAAGTATACCTTACCTCATCTTGCATTAACTCATCGTTATAATTTAGATTGCCATCCAATCAAAATTTCTCTTAACTGTAATTCTAGGTAAATTTAAAATCATTCAAATTATAAATTTATTTTGTTAACAAATTACAATTTAGACTGTTAATGTGTTTTAATATATTTTCAGTCGAATGTCTATTATAGACATATCAGGAATCCTATTGTTATATAATTTGAATTCTTCTGAACCTACATCTGTTGATGATTCTACAGGAGAGCAGTTGAACTTTGAAAGAAAAGATGTATGGGATGTTAAATGGGCAAAGGTTAATATATGTTCATGAAATAATTAACTGATTAATTTATTAACCTCTCCAATTTGAATTTCCTTCACTCAAATTCTCTCCAAGTTGAAGGTTTTCATGGTCCCCTAACACTGATTTACCTTCAACTTTTTTTATTCAAATTTTAATATTTTTTCTATTCAAACTTATCTTAATTATCGGTTTCCATGAAATTTTCAGACAATTAGTTGTATCTACTGTCCAACACCCATTTGCAGACAACATTCCAGTCCAAAGTGAGAGGACATCTTGCTTTATCTCAACATGATATACCTGCAAAACTGTTTGATTCCATTAGCTACATTGAACATTTTGTTGAAAGGCATTACATGGGCTGTTTAGAACAAAGAACTATCAAATATTCTTTATATAATGCAAGAAAAGTAAAAATGCAAATTTATTCAGAGTTGGCATTTTTCACTTTGTTGTTCTCTAACTTAAATCATCTGAAGTTTTTTCCTCCCCTTGGAGCTTTGAGTTAGGAAAGTTTTACTGTATATTCGTTTGTAGGTACATTTTCACATTTAATATCTTACTTGCACATAATTATGTAAACATGTATGCAATGGGTATTTGGATAGAAAAAATTTACTATTTTACGCAAAAATTCAATTATTCAAATTCCAATATAATCCAAATTTTGCATATCAAGGTCCCAATTAATTTGGATAATTGGAGTTTTACTATACATATTTGTTATTTGTTAAATATATTTTATGAAATTAATTAAAAATTAATGTATTATTTTATATATAAATAATATTTTTAAAGGACAATAGTGAGATGTTTGCCGTGATGGAAAAAACACGAATGTACATCTTTAGAAATCTTGATCCTGAGGTAATTATTTATGTTCAAAATAATTTGTTAAAATTAATAAAGTCAATATATTTTTGATATAATTTGCATCAAAGTTAACATAGTAAGTTACATATCTAATTTTTAGATTAACTTGACTACAATACAGTATTCAAAATATACTATAAATTAAATATTATTATGTTGGGTTTTGTGAGTTATACTCGGTTCACACTGGTGGCTGTGTACTATGCCGGACCAAAGTCAAGGCATAGCAACCAAAACAAAATTAAAATTAGTGTGTCAGTGTGTATGTGTCTGTATTCAGGAATTTCCTAACAATGTGGCATGTATTCAATATAGTGGCCTTCTGTAGTGTGATGTATGTATTTCTATTCAATTGTAATGTTCCCAGTCTTTTGTGTAGCNTAAATCTATATCTATGTTATCAGTGATGGATGAGGAAGTGTCTGTAGTATCATTAATGGTAGTTGTTGTATGTGTACTATTATCAATGCTTGTTGCTGTATTATCCTGACAGGTTACGTGATCTTCATTAATGTTAAATATTTCTACCTGTTGATGTATTTGATCAGCAATCTGTTGTTTGATAAGTTCAAGTGTTGGTTGTGGGATAAGGTTGTCGGGTATAATTGTTCTTTTTTGATCAACAACCCTTTGTTCGGTGAAAGTGAGGTGAGGATATTGTTGTGTGAATCTATGGTGTAGTTGTTGTCTCTATGCTGTCATGTTTGTTTCGAGTTTTGTGATGGTGTAGTAAGTACGGATGATAAACTTGTTCATTTCTGTTGTCCATTTCATCCGTTGGCGTGGTTTTCCAGCTTTTGTGGTCTGTGGATGCATTGCCACAGAAACACCAAGGCCATTTTTTATAATTTTTAACATATCAAAAAGGCTATTTGAAACTATCTTTAGATAAAAATGTCTTGACATAACTTAGAAGTGCAGTATAGTAACCTATACAATATCCATCTTCAAACAGTTACAGAATGCTTAAAATTTTAATCAATTTTAATTTATCAATGTAAAAAATAAGATTTTTTTTAAAATTTCATCTGGTTTTTAAAAGTTTATTACATAGAAATTAAACTTTGTTAAATAGAGACAATTTTAAATGCATGTAAGATATATTAAGACATATTTTTAATGTTTTACAGAAAAATTCACTAAAGAAAAAGAAATTTCTAATATAGCCCATCATAAAATGGAAGTCTCACTGTATTTACATTTATCTTATACCGTCACATGATATAAACTTTAACAAACATGTGAAAATTGTGAATAGTTTATACTTATTAAAAGAAAACTATCAAAACACTGAAACCAGTTAGACTAAAATTTTTCACATTAATATATTTTGAAGAAGAAATGATTAAAGTTTAGTGGAGCCTGCAACAGCCATAGATAATTAAAACACAATCCGAACACTCCATATTACTGAACTATTGAACTTTATTCCTGATGCAATCATTAAGATAGTGTGGAGAGATGGCCATTCCTGTAAAAATTCACATTTGGACAAAGCTGATCTATTGAATTTACAAAATCTAGGTGAAAAAAATGATGATAAAGAAGATACTAAATTTTCAATATTATACTTCTGTGATGAAATTGTATGTCAAGGTTATCAAATAATGTGCAATAAGAAAATTTTTGAAGTTTTTCCACACGCAGAAGAAGAATGCACTCAAAGATGTAGTTTGAGTGCATTCATTCTTTCTGTTGTTGTTTTGTAGTTTGTTCAACAAACTATCTTTTCTCTTTCTGTCACAAAATAACCTGTCTAAAATGCTATTAATTGATACAAGATGCATCACTATAGCTATTTCTGTTTGGACATAATAAATTTTTTAATTTTATAATATTTATGCTTTGTTACACTGCAGCACACCCCCAAGAGTGTACTATGGAAGCAAGTTTAATGATTAAAAAAAAGTAACTTGCTTGTTTGTCGGGACATCAAAATACATAAAAATACTTTAGTTTTTGATGTAATGCTTGAATAATATTTTTTTTAGAATTATATACCTACAAATATTACACAAAAATTTAATTTATTCTACTAATTATCTTTTCTGTATTTAAATGGAAACTTAAATATTTATATTTTACAACTTAAATTGATATATGTTGTAAATATCAATATATCAATATTTTTCTTGGTTGAATTTAGCATTTATAATTTTATCTGACTTTCCAATAATACATGTTTCATGATTTTATTGTTTTTAAGGAACCAGTAATGTGTAGTGGATATTTATGCACATTTGAAGATCTTCAAGTCAAAACAGTTTTACTAGATGAAGTATTTCAGAATCCTAATAATCCAATTTCAGAATATATTGTTAAATATGAAGTAAAGGTAATATTTTATGTAATAAATTACTGTGTTCATTTTTATTAATTAAGTAATTTACATATAAATAAATTTTAATTAATGAGATGTAATACAACTGTAATGTTATCCTTCCAGATTCTAACTCAGTTTAATATAATATTTTTAATTATCATCTAGATATTGCTTATTTGAAAAATATATGACCTTAAAAATGAACAAAAATAGTTGGAAAATGTTTTTATTTATAACTTTTTACTTTATAAGTTAAAAAAGAATATTGTGATAATTTTTTCCAATGTAAATAGAATAATCACTGAAATCTCTCTTCATTACAACAGATTTAAAGAGGATAAGACTGCATTTATGACATTTATATCAATGTATACTATACAAATTACAGTTACATTAGCAACATCATATGTCAGATGATGGTATTGTTCTATTGTCATTAAGCTGCTAATTTGTTTGACATGTAAAGATGGACCACAGAACAATGTGCTTTTGCAATAGAGGTAGAAGTTTATTTCAAAAATAACAATTGTGAATATATATTAACACTAATAAAACTAGTAAATAGCCAGGACAATAATTATGTGAAAAGGACATAAGATGAAGAAAGCCGTTTTCTGCTGTTAACTTGTAAAAAAATTTTTTTATAAATTTGAAATGTAATTGTCATTGTAAATGTAATTATGTCTTTATGATGACCCAACTTGCTGGGTCATCATAAACACATAACAAGTTGTCTTAATATATCTTATATGCATCTGGAATGTCTCCATGATGACCCAACAAGTTGGGTCGTCATGGAGACATTCCAGATGCTCACTCCATTATAAGTTGTAATAAATCCAAAAAATTTAACCCATCTTCCTGTAATTATAAACCAGGACAATACAGATACCATTAATGATTGAAACTATCCACACTGCAATCATACAGAGCCCAAAAAAGATCTGCTTGGTGACATACCAAGACTGAAAATTTCATATTGATCATTCAGGAAATTTTGCATCACGATTTTCGCTCCATCATTATAAACTGCAAGTCATGCAAGAACTTAAGCAACTTGAATGTACATAAATAGTTTTGCACTACCATGTGTGATCTGCTTCTTCCAGAGAGTTTATAGTCATTGATAATGTCTGACTAGGAGTGATATTCAAAGCTAGATAGGTATTCAAAACACTCGGTTGACCACCATTTGGCACTGAATGTAATAAATTAACAGCATGTATTCACTTACAATTTTTAAAATATGCTATGAATGCAACCACACTCTGTACTTATTACAAATATAATTTCCAATTTTAGTTCAATAATGTTAAAAATAGCATAAATTATTTATTATATCTTAAATAATCAAACTTTATTAGAATAGCATATTATTTCTTATTTAAATATAACAGAAATGGAATTTGTATTTATATTATTAAAAAATTTGAAAATATTAGTATGTTGGTTATATTAGAAACATCTAAATGCATTTTGTGCTTTAGTTTAATATTACAACATTTATATTTATTATATTAACAGTCATTACGAGATACAAGAGATCTATTAGAACAAGTTGGTATTGCTGAAGCCAGTCAGTTTATTGAAGATAATTCTCATCCTCGTCTATGGTTAGTTATTTTTTAGTTAAGTCATATTAAAGTATTTATATGACTAACATATATATATATGTAATTGTATTTGTTACTAATTTATTATAATTAGTGTTTATATACTAGAAGTCAAAGACTCAAATTCTTGCTTTTGTAAAGAAACATCCAACCAAAAATATTGCAATTAGTCAGCTGTAGAAAATTGTAATTTTATTCACTTTCTTAACTTGACATGCTTCAGCCATAATATGTAGCTCTAAATCACTACTGTTTATCTGATATGTACTATGGCCAAAATGTATCATATGTTATGCAAAGTGAATGAAGTTATAATTTTCTACAGTTGTTGACTAGTTGCAAATTTTTGGCCAGATGCTTCTTTATGAAATCAAGAATTTAGATTTTTGCCTTCTACTACATAAATACGACAAGCATACATATATTATATTTATTTGTATGTATATTTATGTTTATATAATTATTTTAATATTCAGGAGACTGCTTGCAGAAGCAGCTTTGAAAAAACTGAATTTGGATACAGCAGAATCAGCATTTGTTCGGTGTCAAGATTATCAGGGAATACAATTTGTAAAACGACTTGCTACTCTTCAAGTAAAATTATTGTTTAGTCATCTGTTACGATATTTGTTTAATCATATGTATCCTCTAAAAAATAAATATAAATTAATTCTTTAAATGCTTAAATGCTTCATTTCCAGAGTATTGATATGAAAAAAGCAGAAATATTATCATATTTTCATCAGTTTGATGATGCTGAAGAATTATATATGAAAATGGATCGAAGGTAGGAATATCAAAACATCTCACTTTTAAAATTTTAATTCTTAATTTTTATTTTAAATTTCAGAGATTTGGCTATATCATTAAGGCGACAGTTAGGGGACTGGTTTCGTGTGGTACAATTATTAAAAAGTGGCTCTAGTGGTGTTGATGATCGTCAGTTAGAAGAAGCATGGAATGCTATTGGTGATTATTATGCTGACAGACAAAAATGGTAGATATTCATTCTTAATAATTAAAGTAATAATTATGTTTATTTTAATTAAGCATGAAAATAGTCAATAAAATAAAATCTATAATATAAATGTGTAAAAACAATAACAGAAAAACTAGAAATTAAAACATTGAAAATTATTAAAATAAGTAATTTCTATTTAATATAATTAGGAGAATTTTCTTGAGATGAGAGCCATCAATCTCCAATTTTCTTTTCATTCAATAACTAAATTAAGATATTCTTAACCTTTTAAACAAGTTATGAGAAATCAATAGTAGATCCAGAAATCTTTAGAGGGGGTTACAGAAAGGAAACAATATGCCATATAAAATTTTCCACTACTTGAGGAACCTTGTTTTACTTGGGAAAATCCCCCAAAAGGAAGGCTGCAGCTGTACCCTGTGCACCCCCTAAATTTGTCACTATGAGAAATCTTTTTATGAAAGTATTAATTCGAAAATAATTATCTAGGAGCTTGTATGCTGATGATGAATATAAAAATAGATTCATGATTCAACAGAAACTACAAGAAACAGATAAGATACATTTTTAATGTCAAACATCAACTAGATATAGTTGTAGTGTGGATGAAAAGAGCAGTTTTTGACAAGTAGATAAATTTCAGTGAAAATGAGTCATTGATAAAAATGTAGGGATGGCAATTTGTATCTATACATTTTTAAAATGGTTGGAAAATGGATATTCTAGCTTCATACAGTATAAATCACGTGTTTTATTTTACCTATCCAATATATTTTGAAACAAATTCTATTTCTTACTATCTGGTGTTCTAATAACAATACAGTATTCCCAGCTATTTGTCATTGTCATTAGACTGCAATTTGAAAAAATTTTACACATAAATTCCCACTGTCATCTGTTTGTCTGTCCTTCCATAATCTCAAGAACAGTGTTAGATAGATGAAAGTGGAAACTAAATTTGGAAAGCTTAGGGTAGGAGGCTCCGATTAACTATATATAACAATTGACTGGAAGTAATGTGATTTTAATTCAAAAACTTGTGTTGTGTTGGTTATCTATGTAAAAATTCTTTTACATAGCCAATTTAGTACATAACCAGCACAACTTAGTTGTTATCAGGAAAAGTGTGTTGTACAGGAGCAAGACACTACTAATTTGAGGCAGACAGCATTTACAGTATTTTAAATTAAATAAATTAAAAATTGCAGCCTGGCAATGATGTCACAATAAATAATTGCTTATTATCATTGGATATTATCCTATAAGTGATTTTAATTCTTTAAAGGATAATTAGATGATTTAGTGAAAACTTAAGTAAAACTATAAATTCAAAATATATTAAATTTTTTATTATTTAAATTTGAAAAGCATTACTATTGATTTAAATTAGCAATTAAATTAAAGTAATAGTGTAAATCTGTGATAATAGCTGAAACAATTATTAAAACTTTATGAATATTATATTATTAGTACAGTCAACCCCCCCTATAACACGGTAGATACGTTTCGGTTTTTATGAATCCATTTTCTACGAGTCCAGCCAATCACAGCCCAGCATGTATGCAGTTTACGGACTACGGCTGTTTGAAAGGTTTCTTCCATAAAATTAATCGATTCTAGACTAATTCGACTCAACATTTCCAAAATACGTATAATTTTTTGGGAATAATCCATATAAACTATGCTATAAACAAAAAATTGTAGGATTACTTACCGAGTGTGCACCGTTCGACAGCGCCATTGCTTAATCTTGTTTTCATCGTGGAGCTTGTCATCAAATGGCACTCGCATGCTTCCTGATAAATTATTTTTTTCTGAAAAATTTGCTGTACTTTGGAGACATCATTAATATAAATATAATTTTTATGGACATTAAATAATAAATGGTTTTTAGTAGGTCTGCTGCTCGTTTAACGGTTTGTGCAATATCCGCTATTGGTCTAAATTTGGCCAATCCTGTCGCGACACGAGTCGGCGATGACGTTTAACGACTTATAGGAGTTGTTTTAGCATGTTTGTACAAATACTGTCGCAATTTTTTCTCTGTGATATAGGAATCCGAACTATAGGAACCTGTGTTATAGCAGGTTGACTGTATTATTGAAAATTTATGAGTAAAAATTTTTAAAGCTTAGCGTTTAATGAATGTTTAAATAGAAATGAAAATATCCATAATATACAGTAGAAGGAAAATTTTTAAAAATGTAGAATGTCAGTATATCAGTAGTCTCTACTCTTACATGGTCTGGCTCTCACTAATCTCTGTCAAATAAAAATAAAAATATTTGAACTACCAAGTAAGACTACTGGATGTCTTATATCAATTTGTAGAATAAAGAATATTATGCTCTTGTAGTCAAATATTTAACTATTATCTCATTCCAACCAATGAAAATAATTTTTTGCCATCACTTTTATCATTGATGAAGCATACTTTAAAATATTTAAAACTTAAAGAGAGAAAATTTCCAATTATACACTGAAAATTTTAGGATTTGGGGAAAGAGGAAAATGATTTAATTTCAAGTTTTAATTCTGTATCTTTATAGATTTTTTCTTTTAATATTAGCCATTGTTTAAATCTGATTCTTTGATTAGTGTATGTCAAAAATCATACAATAATAATTTATGTTTAGTAATAAATAGTGATATTTATTTGAAAGAAAATGTTTTACAGGAAATTTGAAATGAATTTTTATTTTTTTGTTTTGGAATTCTATGATTAAAAAATATTTTGAAGTCTAAATCCAGCTTGTGTGTATGTATATTATTATTATTTTATAATATTATAATAAAGAAAAATTGTCATTACTATATGATATATAGTCTATGTCAGGACCAATTCCCAAGATGATTAGCCATTTATAACTTTATGATATTCAACAAAGCTGAAATCTGTAATTTTAAAGTTTAATTACAATTATAATTATACTAATTATTACTTTTTTAAGGGAAAGTGCAGTGACATATTATGAACAAGGGCATAATCAAGAAAGACTATCTGAATGTTATTATATGCTGGAAGATTATGATGGTCTGGAAAGACTTCTCAATAGTTTACCAGATAATCACAAACTTCTAACAGTTGGTATTTTTATATTTTTCATTTAATTTAATATAATAAAATATATTTGATCTATATCATTCATTGCAGGAATTAGGATCTATGTTTTCTTCTGTTGGAATGTGTGAACAAGCTGTAAATGCTTACCTCAAAGTATAAAACATTTTTGAAATTTTTATAAATATAGTCTCATTGCTTTGTTATAAATATTTTTATCTATTTACAAAAAATAATTTATAAAATTTATTTTGTAGACAATACACCCAATTTGTCTTTCCAATCAGTCCTTTCAAATGCAGTTGAGGGATATAATAATTCCACAGTGGAGTCAATCTTTTATTTGAGGCTCCTTGACTGCCTCCAAATGTAAAATAGTTAAACATTTCCCTCTAGTGGTGGCACAATAATTAAATAAAATACATTTTTTAAAAATAAGCCAGGACAAATTTAAATTTGGAAAGACACATATTGTGTGTATTGTCTACAAAAAAATTTTATAAATTCTTTTTTGTAAATTTAAATTCGTCTTGGCTTACTTTTAAAAAAATCTATTTTTATCTATATTTAGGCAAATAAGATAAAATCTGCTATAGATTGCTGTGTTACATTAAATCAGTGGCATACTGCAATCAGTTTGGCACAACAATTCAACATCCAAGAAATTGATGGTCTTGTTTCTAAATATGCCCATTATTTATTAGAAAAAAAGAAACCTCTCAGTGCTGTAGAATTATATCGCAAAGCTAATAAATTCTTAGATGCAGCAAAAATAATGCAAAAGGTGAATTTCTATATTATTTTTCTTATTAAAAAATTAAATAACTAACATTTTAATTAATAATCAGTTAGCAGTTGAAGAAGCAAAGAAAAATAGTTCTTTAGTAAGAATAAAAAAAATGTTTGTCTTAGCTGCAATGCTTGTAGAAGATCATCAAGCTTATATTCGTAAATCTTCTAAGCAAACTGAAGACAAGGAAGACAGAGAAGTACGTAGCAAACAATTTAATTTTTGTAAATTTATTCAGTTATTTAATATCCATTGTATATTAATTTAGATTGCTCTAGCACTTGATGCTCTCCTAGATGATGAGGCTGTAATGTCAACTGATCCCAAATTAATTGATCAGCCTTGGCATGGGGCTGAAGCATTTCATTTTTTAATGCTAGCACAAAGACAATTATATGAAGGTATTTTTGACTGTTTTTGATGTACTGTATAACAATTTAATATACTTATTTTATATATAACTTATTCTTTTTAAAAATTAAGGCCATTTCGATGCAGCAATGAGGACTGCTCTTCATTTAAGAGAATATGAAGATGTTTTGAATCAGGAAGTACTATATTCTGTTTTAGGTAAGATGATATTTATTGTTTTTTTAAGCATAATAATCTGTGTAACAAAAATATTTTATTTATTATTTTAGCATTAGCAAGTTGTGCAAATAGAGCATTTGGAACCTGTTCAAAAGCATTTATAAAATTAGAGTCCTTGGATCAGTTAAATTCTGAACGAAAAGAGGAATATGCAGACTTGGCTTTGGAAATATTTATGAAGTAAGAATTTATTGGAATTTTATTTACAAGGTCTGTTCAAAAAGTATCGGACCTTTTTTTTTCCGCGTAAACCAATGATGCGCGAGAGGCCTCCTTCGGTGGAGTTATAGAGGGGACAGTCATGCACAGCCCTGAATTTTTTCCCGCCTGCAGAAAGCGTCAGTCGTTGGCAATCGGCGTATGAGTGAGGTCATGTAGTGCGCTCTCGTCGGATTTCACTAAGCTGGAAAATGACTGAACAACGTGAGCAGCGATATTACATCAAATTTTGCCAAAAACCTTGGCGATACCCGAGTGTAAACCATTCGCAAGATTCAGCAGGCTTTCGGGGACGATCCTCGAGGCCAAAAAAAGCGCGGCAGGTCCGCAGCAATATCAAAGGTCATGTTGACAGTTTTTTCGACTCTCGTGGGGTGGTGTGTCGTGAGTACGCACCACAAGGCCAAACCATCGCAAAGGAGTACTACCAGGAGGTCCTTCGTCGTCTTTCCGATACAGTGCGACGCAAACGACCGGATCTGTGGTTGATCAAAACTTGGCAGCTCCATCGTGATAACGCATCCGCCTATTCTGCGCATCTGATTCGGGCTTTCGTCGGCAAACACAATACTCCTGTGGTTCGTCACGCTCCGTACTCTCTCCACATGGCTCCGTGTGATTTTTGGCTATTTCCCAAGCTGAAAATGCCACTAAAAGGAATCCGAATTTAGTCGAGAGAAGACATCGTGCGGAATGCGACGGACCGGCTGATGGCCATTCCAAAAGATGCGTTCCAGCATTGTTTCCAGCAATGGCAGGAACGCTGGGAGAAGTGTATACATTACCAAGGAGACTACTTTGAAGGGGATTAGGATTTTGTACCTCAAAGTTAATAAATTTATTTTTGCCGACCAAAGGTCCAATACTTTTTGAACAGACCTTGTATGTAATGATAAAACTGTGAATTGGTCTTTAGATAATTGAATTCTATTTGATAACAAACAATTATTTATTGTGACATTGTTACTATGCCTGGCTGCAATTTTTAATTAATTTAATTTAAAATATATGCTTTTCATTTATGGTGACCAGATTTTAACATTGGTAAAGCAAGACAAAATTATTGTTGTTGTTTGTTAAATTATGGCAACACAACACTTGGGCGATCTGCCTAGGGGGATGCCTTCCAGGAGCTCTTTTAAGGGAAATTGGCCCCTATTTAGGCATTACAGACGTGGAGAAAACCTGGAAAACTCTACGTGAGCAGCCTATCCGAGTGAGGCACGAACCCACGACCAAACTCCCAGTGTTCAGGGTACGAAGACCAGTTGGCCACTGGTTGGCTCTAGCATCAATGCCCTCATATACAAGCTACTGTGCCAAATTTTGTTTCTTAATCTTTTTCTTAATCTTAACCCCATCCTGAGATATTAATAATCAATTTATATCCAGTGAATGTTATGTATACATAACAATTGCTTAAAATGTTTTAAAATTTTTATGCATGTTAATTAATCATTTACTGTACATTAATAAACTTTATATAGCTAGCATTTGTAACAACTAGACAATGACGACAATGATAAAAGATGGCAAAATTTTAATTTTTAAGTGTCGGAACGTTTTTATTTAATAAATGACTTAAAATCAATACGAAACTTAATAATTTATATAACTGTATGTTCTTAAATTTTACTTGACTGGCATATAAAGTAATGAAAATTTCGTTAGATTCAAAATTATTCAGATAAACTGAATTTGTCCGTCGCTTTTTAAATATAACCTTTACTATATAAAACACAAGTTTGTGTAAAATTAATTTTTATGTATTATTAGTTTTTATTCATTCATTTTAAGCTAACTTGTATTAAATAAGACTTAATAAGAAGATTAGCTCTGTAAAATACAGATGCTTATGCAATTACTGATATTATAACATTTATTTTACACCGATACAATGCTTTTCTGCATAGGATATAAACAAACCAAGAGCCCAAACGATTTCAGCACACCTAGCGGCAAACTTGTTTATTACCTCTACTTTTAAGGGTGAAAACAACAGGCATTCAGAGACCAGATAATCCGTTGACTCTGGTTTTACTCTTCTGGTCGGGCGAAAAAGCTGACGTTGCATTTGCACCATGCTGCCGAAGAAATTCACATTAATGTTCACTCAGCGTCTAGACCGGGGGTCATTAAACTTTTTTAACCGTAGACCCCCAACCACTTTCCAAAACCTCACATTGACCCCCACCGTAAAGTTTTATCACAAGTATAAGTGTATGAGCAAAAAAAAAAGGTTGTGACCCCTTAGCCGCATCGACCCCCCAATGATGTTGCATCGACTCCTGGGGGTCGATATCGACCACTTTGGTGACCCCTGGTCTAGACATTTGTGAATGGATAAAACCATTAAACACTGGTAAGTTGGTCATGGGTTCGCGCCTCGCCAACATGTTAGCCGCAGGAAGCTTTCCGCGTTTTGTCACGTTAGTAATCTGAAATACATTTATATCTTTTTCCTTCATTTTAAAATCTTTACACAGTGGTTTGGTTTAGTTTGGTTTGAAGAGCTAGGTCAACACGATACACGGCCAATCTGCCAACAGAGAATGTCTCTCAGAAGGAGTTTCTAAGAGAAATTGGTCCATTTAAATGTTAGACTCGTGAAGAAAGACCGGAAAAGTCCACATGGTCAGTCCATTGGTAAGACATGAACCCGCAACCGACTACCAGATGTGTTTAGGCACAGGAATATTTTTGAATATGGATATCGCGTTGTGCTCCATGCTCGCTCTTCATCCAAATAATCTAGTGCTTGTTGTGATCGTAAACATTTTACATACTTGTCTAGAACTTGGCTTAGAGCTGCACCACTCGAATTATTCGACAATACAAGCTTTAATTTTAATCTAAAAAGCAAAAATAACGACAAGTTTTTGTGATCTTGAAATAATTTGATGCAAAATCAAACAAAAGTGTTTATTAGACAACGAAAAGTATTTACAGAGAAAATTTGCATTTTTTTAATATTACTATTCTGGTCGCATTTAATTATTCATCAAACTATTTCTGTATAAAGAGGAGTAATTTAGAAGTGTTAAGTTTAAAAGGCCAGAACTGTGGAGAGAACATTTTCTCGAAGCATTCTTAAATTGATTAAAATTCCTTTTTTTGCAGCTGCACTATGCACGCGTTTAATTCAATGTAATTCGAATGAATCCATGTTGTTTGTTTGTTGAAAATTTTTAAAGTCCATTCTCTCGAACTTTCCGAACGCTTCTTAATCATAGAAATTGAGGATTAGGATCCGTAATCTGGAAACGACAAACAATGCTTAACTGTATTTATTTAAAATTTGTATATTTCTAAGAATAATTCCACTTACCATTTCATAATGTGTATGGCTTTTAATATTTCGAAAACCTTTTCAGAAATAAAGTCAAACTTCGAGAGGACGCAATTGGAAGTCAAAATTGGTGAGGTCACAATCGAGTTAAAATCAATATTCGAGACGTCACAATCGGGATATAATTAAAATTAAAGTCAAAATCGGGATAACGTCAAAATTGAGGAAGTCATAATTGAGTTAAAGTGCCATAATCGGAATAAAGTCAAAATCGGGATAAAGACAAGTTTGAGGAAGCCACAGTCGGAAAATCCAAATAATTAAAATTTAAAATGTTTTTTTGGTATTTATAAAGATTTCTCTTGAATTTTTTTTGGATATTTTAAAATAAAACTTCTTAAATCTGTGAAAATAAAAATGAAAATAATCAATAAATTTATCTAAAATATTCAATTATTTAATAACTTTTAAATCAGTAAGTTTATTTTTTCCCTAAAAACCATTATTTACAAATCAAACGAAAATTATTCAGTGCATAATTATTAATTTGCTACTGTTGTGTCATTTATTATATTTCAAATATATTATTATTAATTTGATTAGTTTAGAAACTTCGTGTACTCGTATTCACATAAACTTGCTAAATATTTTAATCTCAAGTACCATTTACCCTGTTGCTTTCCCTGTGTTACGAGACTAGTACACTCCCAGAATATATTCTTGCCGGTACTTGGACAAGAATATATATGTATAATCCTAATGCCCTAATAGCCTACTCTAAAAAATCTCAATCTTATAAAGAACATGATGTATCTCCATGTTAATACACGTTTCCTGTTCTCCTGTTACCTGGCCATTACGTGTTCGTGGTATATAGGGGATAGAAATGGTGTTTAATTTAGATTTTCTACTCTCAACTTATAAGTGTTAAGTGTAAAATACAAAAATATTCTGATTAAACACTTACCCGAGACGAACTCGGACCAAATCAAGCAGATGGATACTTGATGCAATGATGGAAGAAAAGAGATCCTTATTCAAACTGAACGTACTCAGTCTCTCCATTTTTCATACTTTTCCATACTTTCTGCGCTGATCTGAATGTGAAAAAACAAATATAATTATTTATTGAAAACTTCTATCTGAATTTGAATTTTATCAAAACATATTGAGAGCGCAATATCGAGGTTCGACTGTGTTTATATTGATAGATTGCAAATATTACATTATATTAAATTGAGAATCAAAAAAATGTTATATTTATTCATTCAGCGATATTTTAAATCCAATTTTACTATTCTAAAAGCCTTATAATTATTGGGCTAGAATTTGAAAAAATTGTACTATAAATTGCCACTATTAAATATTGCAGCCCGACATTGTGACGATCTCTCAATAAATAATTGCTCGTTATTATTTTCATTTGTAGTTTATCTTTTCATTGGATTAGAAATGAAACTAGTTTGGTAAATATCGATGTAGCGCCAAAAATATAGGAAAGTCATGCCATTCTCATAAAAATTACGAAGTTTTCAAGCTCAAATCTCTGCGTACATCTTAATACTGTGTATAATTGTTGCTGTTTGAGATACTTCGGTTTAGCATCACACTGGACTCAGTGAGAATTATAAAGGACAAATTGTAACGAATGACCGAGCTAAATCGAACTTTGTACTGACATATACAGAAACATACCTCTTGACTGGTTTCCATACTGCCTTGAAGAAAGATCCGGCTTTTTTCAATGTCTTTCTATCTCTAACAGCACATCCAATAGCATATCCAATGGTATATCCAATAGTATACCCAATGGTGTTCGTATTTTCCGTACAATCTTCGTGCTTCTTGAAGCCTTTATTCATTTCGATGTTCGTTGGAAGACCCATAATGTCATTATTCGATCCATAGTCCTCCTTACCTTCAACCAATCGCTCACTAAAAGTAGAAAGAAAGAATTTACAATTCAGTAAAACTTATAGAGAAATTATAACACATTACTTGAGAAACATTTTATTCAATATTTCCCAAAATTTTCCATGAAATAAGCAAATTATCGCTTAGAAATTCGCGTTTTTAAAGTTGTTAGTATTTTGTGGACGTGTAGGGCCTCCCCTAATTCGAATTCAGAATTCATTACTGTATGTAATTCTTTACCTCTGAGATTTTTCGGTTTAGTGTCAATCTCAGAGGAGAACAGTGGTGCTCTATCGAACTTTGATTATATATAGAGGAGGTATGTGTAGCTTAGTTTAACGATGCACCCAATAACATCACGACAGAGGTCTATAGTTTTTAACGGAGCCGAAGAATGCATAGCCGCCTGTACCTTTTCTACGTGTAGATAGATATAGATAGATATATAAATAATTATCATCATTGTGTTACATATATGAAGTGACCATATTTTCATCGCTTAAACAAGGAGACTTTTGAAGAATGAGAGAAAAATGTGGCTAAAAATGACTAAACTTAAATTTAAAATTCAGCAACGAGTTGCTTAACTTTCCCGGCAACATTTGGTGGCTGCATCTGTTATGATATTTTATTTAAAAACTTTTTATATTTTTAACTATTGTGAAATGGCAAAAAGCTTAATTTTGAGGGCAGGAATGGGTTTTATAAAAAACTAGCTGTTATCCGTGGCTTTTGCAAGCAACCCCTATTTATATTCAGTATTTCAACAACCATAGTAATTGTTATATAACACCTACCGCTGAGAATGATGAGAATTGCCGAGAATGAAACGAACTATTTTCAATTTGATCAATTTTCTGGAACGTTTACAATCATTCTATAATCGAATCAATATGCAATAACAAATTTGAATTTAAAACAATTCGAACATTTTTTTAAATCGAAATAGATAAAAATATTTATAACAATGTCTGAAATGTTATTAATTTAATACACGTAAGTACTCGATGAAGACTAAATCCTCTCCCTCTCCTTCCCCGCGAGGGAATTTCGAAAAATCCCTTCTTACTTGTTAGTGTGCGTTTTCATGACGTACCCTAACTGTGTACCAAATTTCACCTCTAGGTTCAGCGGTTCGCTCTGGGCGCTGATGAATCAGTGAGTGAGTCATTCAGTCAGTCAGGACAAGCAACTTTATATATATAGATTTGTAAATGCTAACAAAGAGTAAAATTGTCATTAGGTCCGACCCTACTCGAGATTAGACACATGTCCTCTTTTATCTCCCCACCCCTCGACCTTTAACAACCAAAATTTAGTGGCATCGATTTTCCTAATACACAATTTAACTTAATTTTAATTAATTATCATTTGCACCGAGCTATTTCTATTTAAATCCATTAATTTTTTGAATAAATTTCTTATTTGCATAAATAACAATAAAATGTGAAAAATTTCTTACCCCAAGGGTGGACCCAAGGGTCGATAATCGCCAGAATCAAAAAACATTTTTCTATCACTCGAAATCGCACTCTTCGCAACAAAAGAGCAAAACAATGAAAAGATCAATTGTTGAGATTCATTGTTACGCGTTAATTGAATTAGATAAAAATTTTAATGATTAATTTTTGGATTTATTTTATATTTTTAATTTTTGAATTAGTTCCTGTGTAATAATGATTAAAGGATGATAATCATGGCAGTAAAGGTCTTGGCCCACCTCTCTGGAGGAGTTGGGATCAAATCCGGGCGAGCAACTCTCCAAGAATTTTTCATGAAAGCTCCATCTCAGATACGTTGAGCCCCCTCCCTCACCATTGTGGGTTGGACCATACCTACCATTGTGGTTATGGTCCATCCCACAATGAACAGGATTGAAGGCCTTTTAGAGTTTCTCACCAGTGTCTGAGTGGAGAAACCACTAAACATTTGTAGTTTTTCGTGAGTTTGCCACTTGCCGACGGGCTGACAACGTAGAATTTTCCGAGTTTTCTTCACGTTTGTAACACCTAAATAGGGGTCAAGTTTCCCATTGAAAGTTCTCCCGAGAGGCACTCCTCCCCACGTGTCGTGTTATCATATAGAACTAATCTAATCCCTTTTATTCACATGTCAAAAAGAGTAATATAGTACATCCCTTATAAAACGGGTTCATATAATACAGATTCGTATAATACGACAAAAAAATTGCGATCGTATTCGTATAAACACGCTAAAAGAGACTCTTATAATACGGTGAAACGTCATCGCAGACTCGTGTCGCGACTGGATTGGTCGAATCTAGACCAATAGCGGATATTGCACGAACCGTTGAGTTTAAACGAGCAGCGGATCTACTAAAAACCATTTATTATTTAATTAACCATAAAAATTATATTTATATTAATGATGTCTCCAAAGTTAAGTTATTTTTCTGCGAAAAATTCGCTGATCAGAAAACACGCACCCGCCGTTCGATGCGCCGCTCCACGTCGAAAACAAGCATAAGCAATGGCGTCGTCGAACGGTGCACACTCAGTAAGTAATCCTACATTTTTTTGTTTATAGCATAGTTTATATGGATTATTCTAAAAAAATTATACATGTTTTGGAAATGTTGAGTCGAATTAGTCTAGAATCGATTAATTTTATGGAAGAAAGCCTTTCAAACTGCTGTAGTCCAGAAACTGCATACATGCCGGGCTGTGATTGGCTCATGTATTTAAGGACTCGTACAACATGAATTTCATAAAACACGAAACGTATCTACCGTGTTATAGGGGGGATCTACTGCATTATTAATGACAATAACTGCATCTGAACTGTCATCTGTGCAATAGAATTACTGTATGCAATGTTGCTGTTGATGGCAGTTAATTAATCAATTATTGTACAATAAATAATTAAAATTACTGCAACATAGTTCAATTATATTAATGCAAATAAGAATTTTTCAGGTTTCAGTTGCATTTGCACGTTGCATCATTCACTAATCATTCTGTATATAAAGAACAAAGCTATATTTGGCAGCACGGCAATGGCGGAACGATGCCGTGCTGACAAATATAATGTCAGTAGTTCAAGTAGGATCCTACAGCAACCTTACTAGTGTCTATAGGAAAATGAAATCAGATGACCATTAGAGCCTAAATGTGCCAAAAGAGTGCAAGAAGAGTAGGCTCTATTTGCTCTTCTGAAACGTGCTAGTCAGCTTGGGTTCCATTTGATTTTTGCGTTGACCTTGGTTTTAGATAACTTTAGGGATCATTTAATCATGTCTGTCTGTGATCTGCATTCGGTAGGTTTCGCATGTAATAACTGAATAAGCCCAAGAAACGTTAGAGCTTTCTAATTGTTTCGACTGCTCAAACTCTAAAATAAGAGCTATCCGGTTCGGCAATGGTTTAATGTCATCTTTGTTGACCACCTGTATCAAGAAGAACAATTGTGATACACCCAAGACACACTTTCCGCAGTTTCGGACAAGCAGCGAAAAAGTTGTTCGAGATTGACCTGATGTCCAGGAATTCGATGGTATGTCCGCACTAAGTCAACTTTTGAAAATATGATCTTATCACGTAAGTTGGTAGCAAATTCTGTAAGTGTCGTAGCGGGTAACTGTCCCATACCTTGATACGATTTAACATGTGATAATCTCCCGCAGGTTGACCCTTAGTTAGGATGCAATGAACAATGTTGTGTTTAATTTTGTTCCAGCCAGGCATGGGTGGAGGATGCAGCACCGGTTTTGGACCGTTAGCCGCCTGCGTGTCAGAGATATTTTGCTGCCCCTATCAATGCTGATCGCCAGTAAATTCAAAATTTAAGCTTACTAGTATGTCGAGAGGGGNCGTAGCGGGTAACTGTCCCATACCTTGATACGATTTAACATGTGATAATCTCCCGCAGGTTGACCCTTAGTTAGGATGCAATGAACAATGTTGTGTTTAATTTTGTTCCAGCCAGGCATGGGTGGAGGATGCAGCACCGGTTTTGGACCGTTAGCCGCCTGCGTGTCAGAGATATTTTGCTGCCCCTATCAATGCTGATCGCCAGTAAATTCAAAATTTAAGCTTACTAGTATGTCGAGAGGGGTAAAAAAGTGCATAAAAATATTTGATATATGTTTATTTTAATTTTATTCAAATCAAGCGATAATAGAGGCCTTATTCAAAGTGTTATTTCTGCGTCGCCATAAAATAAAAGTTGCAAATTAAAATGAGATTTTTCTTATTTAGTATATAAATATAATATGTATGTGTATATAAAAATTTATTTAAATATGAATATTTACATTAATAACGTTGATGCGCATCTCTTTGTTTATTTAATTGGTTTATTTACGGTAGAAAAATGCGTTTATGTAACATGCTACGAACAAAATTTTCGCTCGTTTGGACAGCCTGTGAACACGTGCTGCTCCATTGCTGCAGCTGCAAGCCCCAAGCCATTTTCTGTCGGTCTTTGCCACGAACACAAAAGGTTTTGTCGTCACAGCATTCTTTATTTTCGATGCTCATGCACACCTTGCTACTGATTCGTATGATACAAAATGATCTCTACGAATCTTAAGCATAAGGTATAAGTTTATGACACATAATTGACAAAGCTTAATCTTTCCAAAACTCGGGACTTTTTTAAAATGCTGCGGGACGCGGGACAAATTGTTAAAAATTGGGACTGTCCCTCCAAAAACAGAACATCTGTTAATTTTATCTTCACCTCAAATTAGTACTGTAGTGTGTTGCTCCTGTACATCAAACTTTTCCGTTAACAATGGAGTCATGCCAGTCATCTATCTAACTTCTTTCAGGGGAAAGTTTTTTAATTGAAATAAAAGTGACTTCTAGTTTGCATAGGAAGTTTGTATATAGTTAATTGGGGCCTCCTGCCCCTAAGCTTCACATATTTGCTCTTGAATTTTATTTATGCTCTTGAGATTAAGGAGACAGATGGATGGACAACAGATGACAGTGGGAATTTATAGGTGTATAATTTTTTCAAACTGGCAGCCCAATAAAAAGAATAAAATTAAAATATATGCAGAAAATGAAAAATGATTATGTTTTTGTCAGGAAGTTACTTAATTATAAATACTTAAATATTTTTACAATTTATCCAAGTATAAAATCAAATTTTAATTTCAATTTTAATTGAACATCACAAGACTTAATATATTTTTATCTTTCACTGAATTATAAGAGTCAATTTCTAACATTTTATCCACTAAAGACAATGCAAAAATGCCCAAATTATAAAATTATATGATAACATTAAAAACACAAAAACAATGCTAATTTTCTAAGGCAATGAACTGTATATGTTAAATGTTTTTTGTGATTATACCAAATCTGATATGTCAGATTTGGAATTTTGAAATGATTCAGTTACTACTTTGTAACTTTTTAATTGAGCATTTTCTTATATGTTTTGATAGCCTAAAATTTATGTCCACTAAATTATTTTAATCATAGCTGTCATGAATAACCTCGTGATAGCTGAGGTTAACAAGGCCTTAGTGCACATAGTGCAGAATGAGTAAAAAATGAAAAAGAAAAGAGTAAGAAAATAGTAAAATCATTACATAATTATTAAACTTTGTTCATATGGTGAGTAAAATAGTAATATTAAATACTTCAAGGGTGAAAAATCTTATTTTGGTTTATATATATACAATTTTTTTTTAATCATGAGTGTTTAAAAGAAATATATGTACAGTACATACATACATATATATATATATATACAGTACATGCATTTATTTATTTTAAAACCTCATGATTCAAAATTGAATTTTAAATAGATGTATAAAACCAGTACAGATTATTTTAGAAAGTTAATTGAAGGTGATAAAATTTTTATTTTTTACATATTTCTTATTTAGATTATCATAAGTAATTTATAATTACAGACATTCACCTAAAGATTCAAGAAATAACAAGGCAGAATGTACAAGTTGTGAAACCATGATACCAGATTGGTAAGATTTACAATTTTTATTTTTTTAATATTTTTCTATTGTGATATATTTTTTCTTGTTTAAAAGGTGTAATATCTGTCCAAGCTGTAGTACAAAGTTTCCCATTTGTGTAGCAACTGGTCGTCCACTCATGGATCCTAGACAACAGTGGGTTTGCAATTATTGCAAACATTCTGCTTTCACACAAGACATGTTGAATAGACAATTTTGTTATCTCTGTTATTCATCTGTTAATATATGATCATGCACAAGCTTTTGATAATTTTAAATTATTTTTCATTGTAAAATATTTCATCAATGAAATTTTCACTATTGTTTAGCTTATTTTATATTTTGTAAATCTGTTAAACATTTATTTGGAGTTAATTTTTGTTGTTTAATCTATTTATGTTTCATTAAATTTTTATTTTTATTTTTTTTATCAAATCAAAATTAGATTATGATTTCTTGACTATTTTTATTTTTAATAATGAAATGGAAGTTAAAATCTTATTAGAAAAGACAGAAATACTTGATTTTCTTTTGTTTATTTTCTGTTTAAATTATAGTGAGAAATTAAATTTCTTCGCCAATTTCATTTACAATTAAATTTTAATGTGTACGAGATACCTCATTAAATGAGAAATTGGCATATTTTTCTGACAATGCTGCTTCTTTCAAAGATTAATCCTTGTCAGAATGTTAAGATCATATATCTAATAGTCAAAAAATATTCTGGCAAAATATATGTTAAAGTTGATAACTAAATATAATAAATATAAATAACTTTATATAAAAACTGAAATATATAGATTATTTCCAATATACATTATTTATATGCATATTTTACAATAAAACTGAGCCAAGATTTGTTTTCAAATGAAAAGTAAGACTAAAAACATTGTATTTGAATCTTCGTTTCAATATTTACACTCATTGCCATAAAAATTAGCACACCAAGAAGGAGTTGTCGAATCACTGCAAAATTTGACATTCAGAAAGTCTCAAGTACCGTGTTTCCCCGAAAATAAGACATCCGCAGAAAATAAGACTTAGCATTGGTTTTGCTGAATTGTGAAATATAAGACCTCCCCCTGAAAGTAAGACGTAGCGAAGTTTTTTTAGTCGAAACGGTCATCGACAAATGGTTGAAAGTGGCCGTTGGCTTTTTGAAAGTACAGCCACTGATTGGTCAGCAGACAATTACGCCACACGGCATGATTTGCGTAAGACTATGGCTTGGGAATCACAGATTTGCATAACGTTACGGCTGGTGATGGCTAATTGGTCGGCCCGGAATCACACCACATGACATTTGCATAGTGCTACGGTTCAGTAAGCACTAATTGGTCATCGAGTCCGATGTTGACGCTATAAAAAGGCGACAGTTCGACACACCGGATATACGTTACTCTCGTCTAAATTCGACTTGGGAATTTTTTGTTCAATAATAAATGTGAATTCTTCTTCCTGGAAAAAATAAGACCTAGCGCATTTTTCAGAGCAAAAATTAATATAAGACACTGTCTTATTTTCGGGGAAACACGGTAGATATAGAAATGACTAGTTAGCATGATGGTTCATTGCATAATGCCAGCAGGGCATTAAAGTGTGTCCCCCTTGGTCTATTAAAAAGTGTGCAAAGGCATCCTGTTTGTAGGTTACCTTCTAAGAACGCTATATCACTAGAGATGCCTTTGTCACAATTGAAGACCATATGAACAACTAAGTGAGTTTGAGGGGGAATTGTCATCGGATTCAGAGAAGCCAGATGGGCATCTTTCCGAATAGGCGGTTCGACTGTGAGAGGAGGTGTTGGGATAGATATTACTAGTCTGACAATTGGAAGAATAAACATTCACTTATAACTTTTTATACGCTCTCCCTTAGCCTGACGAAATAGCGTCTGTCTCCTCGAAGTTAACTACCGTCCTTTTCACGAAGGCTTTGTACATTTCTAACCTTTCAAGTTGTTTCGGCCGAAGCAATATTTTCTCTCGATGGCGTTCTTTTCATTTCTAAGGAGTGAGGAAATTGTAGGGTTCCTCTAAAACCCTACAATTTCCCCACTCCTTAGAATTCCGTGCTTACTACATCGGGCTATCTCCTTATAGATAGAACAGAGGGTCTTGTGTTGTGCTATGATAGAACATTCGGAAAGGATAGATATCTACAAACTGTTCGGGATAAGGACGGCATGAAAATGGACAGTTCACTTATATGTTACTGTAGGCCTATTATCGCACAATTTAGCAAAATCGCTGCAGAGGAAAAATTGCCGTCAACTTCGATGTTATAAGCAATGATGTAACGAAACGATGACGTCATCTATAAAAAACTGACATCATTCAACAATTAAAATTCAAATACACAGTAAGTTACATAGGTGTACAGTGGGCTTTTGCATGAAATATCTTGCCTTCCGATTCAGTTATTTAAAATATCGTAAATGATAAGAATTACCTAATGTGATAATTTCTGCAAGGAACATAAAAAATGTACAGATAAACTTAAAATTTGTAGATTAACTAGTCATGGGAATTAGATGGTGCCACATATCCTTAAATTTATATCTGTGCATTTGGAAAATGAAAATTTGATGGTTATATTTGCGGTACCACTGTTTACAGAAGCAATATGCAAATAAAAAAGAAAATAAAAAATGTTTGACTGAGAATGTATAAAACTAGTATATGCCTACTTTGTATAATTAAAAATACAGTTTTTTCAATAAAACAAAGAAAACCAAAGCAATGTTAATTGCAGTACATTCCAACGGCCTTTAATTGTGGAAATGTGCTTGAAGAATATTATAATTGTTTCGTGTTATGTGTTAAATTGGGAAAAGTGTTGTTTCATTTTTTTATAACACGGTAGAAGGTTGACTACCTCTTCCTCGCAGCTATCACTTAGTGCACAATCCTGGTGAACTTCGCTGTACACGTTCTCATTTCTCCGCGTTTTTCAAATGATTTATGCATGCTAAACTTGTAAACTTTTTGTTAAATTNGAAGAGCTGCTTGTTCCTTTGAACTGAATAATAAGGAATGAAAACATGCCAATAAAAGCAAAAATTACAAAAGTAATTAATGTTAGGAGAATTAAGTATTTAACTTTGGCATAAATCTCTTTAAATTCTGTGTAACTTGTAAGTGTTAATTCCTTATTCCAATAGTGATCGTGAATTTCAACTTACCCTATTTAGCTTTTTAATCTGTGTGACTGTGTTGCTATAATTCTATACACCAGTATAATAAGTCCTATTAATAGAAATACACGGTTATGGTGTTTGAAAGAACAATTTGATTAAATTAGGACATTGATGCAGATTAATTAACAAATACACCATTAAGATGTGTACAAATTGTGCACTATATCCATCATTGTGGATAACAAAAGTATATTAAGACAAACTAACCTTTTGTTCGTTATTCTGGAGACATTGAAGTTGTGAGTGCGAATAGGGACCAATCCGAAATAGGCGAAATAAAGAGAACTGTTTTAATCTCGGTCTCTGTTAATTATCCATAATTAAGAAAGACGTGGTAGCAGTGGCGTGTCGTCATTGGAAGCAGGGGAAGCGACGCTTCCCTTATATTTTCTAAAAAATAAATACATATTGCGCGATTATTTTTATATTTTAACGTATTTTGGATTAATTAAAATTAATATTTTATTATAACCGCATTATGTATCTTATTACAAATTTCTATACTACACGTGAAAAAAACGATAAGATTTTTATTGTATATTCGAATATTAGTGGCGGAATGGAAGCGCTGTATTGTCGAAATAGGGTCAGCTTCAAACAGCCAGGTTATACGCATTCGCGCGTGCGCTATACAGAGCACCAAGCTCACCCGGTTTAGCCGGTGGAAGCTACACGCGTATAACGCTTTCAATGATTCTATCCAGGACTTGTTATGCGCTGTTAGCCGCCTATGGGAGTTTAAAAAAATCCATTAAAGAATTTGATATTTTTATTCCGCTCTCCCATCTTATACTTGCGGATTTCAATGTTAAACCAGTGATATTGCGATTTCGTATGTCCCATCTATAAGGGGATGTAGAAGATTCTTGTACAATGTTAAAAAATTCACTATTACTTTGGTAGCATCATTTACAACTAAATTTAATGAATTTGAGAGACGCACGAGGTACAGAAAAAGCTCTAGAACAGGGGTGTCCAACCCGCGGCCCGCGGGCCGCATGCGGCCCAAGGCAAGTTCCAATGCGGCCCAATAAACGTGTAAACAAAACCTACAAATGTTTTAATTTTTTATTATTTATTTATTTCAATGGCATAAACTCAAAAAAAAGTTTCACAAAGCCGTAAACCTTTATTCATATTTTATTTTTGAGTGGAAAGAAAATATTTCAAATACTTGGAGATGTGTGAATGCGGAAGGATTACTAAATAAAGCTGGAGTTGTGTCTCAAAGAATTATATACCCAAATTTGGGAAAAGGAGGGAAAGATGAGAAAGGACAAAAGATGTAGTAGTGAGAAAGGTTAAATAGATCTTCTGTTAAGCAAATATGGACCCATAATTTTTCAACCTTTTTCACTTCTTTATCTTTTGTTTTTTGCCTCTTTTTTCCGCACTTGGGTCTATAATCCTTTGATTCACAGCTCCAGCTTTATTTAGTATTTCTTCCAACGTTGCGAGATTTGGCTACATTGGGCCAAATGTGGCTACTTTTTTTGGTTTGACGTAAAAAATATCATTTGGCGCTTTGGCTACTTTTTCGGTTACATATTATTTATAATTATATAAATTGAATAAAAATGCACTTCAAAATGGTGGTTCGTCGTTTTTATTAATTAGAGACACAAATAAAACAAATATTTGTGTTTTTCAAATAAATTTTCGTTTGTTTCTTTTACAATAAATGAATTTATCTATTTCTAAGTAAAAATTGAAAGTGTCTGTAGAAGTAATTTTTTAACATATTTTTTTTCTTGATAAAGTTATAATATTTATTATTATTATCTACACATGTTAGTCCTTAAATATACTTGTATATTCGGCCACAAGTATATATTATATATACTTGTGGCCGAATATTTAAGGAAATTACAAGTATATATTATATATACTTGTGGCCCAAAACTCCTTGACTTCTTCCAATGCGGCCCAGAGAAACAAAAAGGTTAGACACCCCTGCTCTAGAATTTATTTCCCTTTCCCTTCTCGGGGAAATTTTAAAAAATCTTTTCTTAGTGTGCATTCCCATGGCATACCCTACTAAAACGCAGATAAAAACAAAAATCGCCTCTAAAATAGTACAGTAGAAGCCGTTTTTCTGGTTAAGTCTTAATTCTCTCCCTCTCCTTCCGCGGGGGAATTTCGAAAAATTCTTTCTTAGTGTGCGTT